TGGAAAGACTTCTCGACCTTGAGTTTGCGGATGATATTGTCTTACTGTGCAGTGATACAGTGATACCCGAACCATGCAATTCGCACTCTCAGTGTCTACTTACGATAGTCAGCTTTTGTTGTTAAAGATACTTTTTGACTAATTATGTATCTGTAACACTGACAAACTCAATATCAATGCAATAAATGTCTTTAGAAACGCTACTAACTATACAATTGGGCTTTTTAGAGAGATTTAATTTGTGATAACTTTTAACATACTTCAATTAATTTTCACATAATTCTACACTCTACTCAACAATCTGTCGATTTTCGATACCATTTCAGTTGTTAAAGTTTTGATCGTGTTTAGGGTATTTTAATTTTCTTTTGAACTTGGATTTGTTAATCTCGACATAATACTGATGTCACTTGTTTTGTTTCAGTTTCACAGCTTATTACCAGACTTTCTCAATAGGTGATTACTGCATGTTGTACCTTGTTCAGTAGTGTTTATTTTATATTTTCTTTTTCAACAATTCAACAGATGCTAAGATTGTACAATGGTGAAATTAAAAATATGTTGAAAGAAACAGTCGATTTAACATTGACAGATTTAAAAAGTAAATCTTTGGTATATGTTTATGCAACTGATCACTGGCTTCGAGCTAGTTCTGTTTCCGGTTATTTAAGTAATATGAAAAGTGAACTCTCCAATTTAATGATGTCAGCTAATGCGTCAGTATTCTTTCTTGCATTACGTGACTGGTTGTATCAATTATCAGAATCATTACATCCAAAACTTTTTACACATGTATGGAAAGAAATCGCATCACAATTAGATGATTATTTGTATAATGAGGTATGTTGTGACAGCCTAATTTATCTATTAGTTGAGTTTGCCTAAACTGCGCCAACTTTGATTTTACCTTTATTCCTCCCATAATTTCGAACTTTGCACTTGTGACATAAATAACTGGATGATGGATGAAACAATATTGAATCTGGCTATATCTATGGATTGATGTGTTCAAATTCTCTTTTAGGGAAAGGGAAAACAGCTGAATTAATCATGATATGTATTATGAATACATTAATGTATAGGTAATAGGTTTTTATTGTATATAGTTTAGATGGGAAAGTGTACCCGTATTTTCACCTATTACCGATTTTAAATATTGTAACCTATATTGTTCAACTATCGGCTTTTAATATAGGTTCAGCCAGCTGGACAATGTCACTAGACTTCACACTATAGGTTAAATACATTAACATACACGTGACAAAGAAGTAAACTAACTAACGGGTTTGTGAATGATTATCATAGACAAATTTAGGAGTATGTTGGTGAAGAGAATGGTGGATTAAGATATCAGAATAAACTAAACTTCCTGTCACTATTTGAAAGCGTATGAATTCATAGAAATCTAATTTTGTACGAAGAAATATATTTAGTCACTATAGTCTCTGTTTTCACTCTTGGCTCCTTTCCTTCCTAGAATAAACAGTCCACAATTTTCATCGAAATTATTCCATCTTCTACACTTATTAATTTCATGTTAGATACTTAGAAACAACAGGAATACTTATACCAAGGTTTTGTGTACCTATCTGTAAGTCTCTAAGAAATGATTTACCTCAAAAAATTCACACTTATATCAATCAGTGTTCTAGTCAGAGAGACTGAACTTTTAGACCGCTCGATGTATTTATTATATACTTTCGATATTTTGTCCCGCAACTTAAAATGACTCGAAGTTGTTACTACTTATCTACATCTGAAAGAAATATATATTCATGTTTCCTGTCACACACCAAACTATAATGGAATCTTAGCTTTATAGTCAATTTTGGTTGTATAATTACCAAAAAATAATCCATCAGATACTTCAATGCGATGAAAGTAACTAGAAAACATTCAGGTCAATCGAGTGTTTATTTAACCAATCCAAAATGACGTGGATATTAAACAACTATTTTGTTCGTTCAGGCCCTAGGCTTTTAGATGTGTGCTTGGATCGATTCATCTTAAAGATTAGAACTGGTAAAACAATTTCACATCTATTTAATTGTTGACCAAACTTACAAAATTCACAATTCAGTATTTAGGATGAAATCGCGTTGGAGTTTCACTTTCTGAACGTCATATACACCTCTTACTCTACATTCCCCAAACAGAAAGTGTTCGGGGATTCTGTTAATAATTAGACATAAGTGATATGATGATAGAATTTAAAGCGAATGTAATGTTATCAATTGATAATTATCTAACATCTTCATTTTTAACCTGTTTGTCCAACAGCTCATTCTATCAAATCGATTTAGTCCTCTGGGTGCTGCACAGCTTCGTTTCGATCTTACTAACTACTTATATCCAATGTTCAGTTTGTATACTGAACGTCCTGAGTCATATTTCTTTCAAATTCGTGATGCATGTGTTCTTCTAAATTTATTGCGTGGAACAGCCGAATTATTAAGAGAAACTATTATGGAATCAATGAATAGCCAACAGAAGCGTGATAACGATCCACTTGGACCTTTACTTGAGTTAGGCGTTTATAGACTAACTCCGGAAGAAGCTCTTCGTATTTTGTCTTTACGTGCCATTCCAGAATAAGAGATTTTTTGTATATTCCGAAATCTAACCTAAAATGTCTTTCTTTTGCCCTTCTATGTTCCACTTCGAAGTGCTTTACTTGTTCTCAGTGTGTAAATATAATTTTATTTCTTGAAAATATCCATGTTTTATTAATTGGAAAACGTAACTTGGAGGAAATGTACTTCCGATTATATCTTGATTTAACCTTGAATAGGAAATACGTGTGAATTGTAATTACTATTTGGAATACTTTTCTTGTTCATCCATTTCCAATCGCTTATAATGCGATCTACAATAAAAAACATCTTATCTGTACTGTTTTTATTAATTGTCTTCCCTCCTTGCTACGAAGCCTGATTTTCAAGGGAACTAGAACAACCACTTGAAGTAAATGTCATGAATTCATCTCGTTTTGTTAGTATTTTTTTGTTATTTCGTACCAAACACGTGTATATATAATTATACACCTGACTCGGTTTCACTTCGTATTACGTCCACTAATTGGATATTGAACACCTATTAGCATAAGCAGTATGTTTCAGGCACAAATTATGATTCCTTTAGAAAACTTTCTATTTATTACGAAAGTAATATCTTCAGAAAAATCATTTACTCTATTAGTCAAGTATTTGTTAACTCATCGAAATAATTTCCTATTACATTCAACAAGGAATCAGAATAAGTCAAAGAAAAAGCAACCTGATCAATTTTATTAAAATTGGTCAGTTGGTCATAGTGAACAGTAGTACATGTGCATTTACCTGATGTCAATCTAACTTTATGCTACCTGAAGTATAAACTTAAGCCTATTACCCATCTTGGGACATATGCCCCCAACCAGGTATTTACACCTTCACTATCCTTTCTAGTTGTTATCAAATGGACTGCTTAAACGATAGTGTTGAACTTATGACCCTAACCTCATAGCAATGTTGTTATTGCTTCGCCAATTCATACCTTCATATTTGCTTCTAGCCCTCCCTGTTTATCGATGATACTGCTCAGATACGTAAAAGTTCCCACTTCTTTCACAGCTCCGTCAAAAGTGATTTGGCTGATGCTCGCTGTTTTTACTTCAGGATCTCACTTTTTCCTTTGTGAATCTTCAAATCTATTTCTGCTAAAGCTAATTCTACACTGTTTATCTTCATTTTCATTTGTTTCTGTGTATACAATGGAAGGGTTAAGTTATCTACAGATCCCTAAGTGTTCTCTGTATTCCGTGCTTCTCCTGAGACGTGGAGGTCTTTATGATTTAGGCAACAACCAAAAGAAGGAGAGAGTAGGAAGCTCCGAATGCTCTAAGTTCTGTCAGTTGCGCTGGTTTATCCGCTTCTATTTTGACTGAATATTTTTATTCTGAGTTAAGGTCGAACCAGAACCTACGTCACTTAACACAAAAGAGAAATAACTACAACTTGAAAATTATCAGAGCGTTTTATACAGAAATTGTTATTCAATAAACTTATGAACTATTTGACATTGTTTTGTGAAGGGAATCTTACTGTATCGAATTACAGACATAAACAGGAAGTAATTTTATTATGATATCATCTACATCCGTCCTCATTAAGTTAGTTCTTGGTCTACGAGAAAATAATGATTGTGACTCAGTATAATTTAATTAATAATTGCTTAATATCATTCTAGGAAATATTTAAAGTTTCTTGCAAATTCTGCTTACATCTACTAGTCTCGATCTACTTTGATGAAGTACTTGATGTGCATAAATACTTTAACCACTAAAGCTATACATGACAGTAGAGAAAAAAATTTAATCATACTCTTGCTACTTTTTCGTATGGTCGTAGTTTTTAAACCATAATAATTCAATAACTAGCGTAAATTGTTGTAATAGGATGCAATTTAATAATCCTTTACCAAAACCTGGCGTTTACTAGGATTACATATGCTATTTTTTTTCAGAAATTGAGTCATGCTTATCATATCCTTCAACGCTTAAAATAAGAATTATGATGACCATGAATGGGATTAAGTTGAAGCCGTGAACCTTTTCATATTTTACACGGTGGATAACCTTGTATTAAAGAATATTTATCTTAAGTTCATCGAAAAATAATTATTTGCTGCTATACACAGGTGTTGAACATAAAGACCGGTGTTATTGTTTTTGAAGTAATAACTATCCTTCTACATACATGTTGACAGCACAGGTGTCCATCATACTCTTAGATATTAAAGAGGACAAATACTGTGAAACTATTAGATCAAATGTAGACGAGAGTTCTTAATCATACCCTTAGTTTTTAAAGAACTTGATTTCAACCATTCAAGTCATAAGTCCTCACTTCACAATTCGATTTAGACATCTGGATGGTATCTCTAGCCCTTGTACACCAAAGTATATCTGAAAGCCGAGTTTATAAAATATGTACTTGATGACTAAACAACGTTTTTTTGGTCCACAAACATATCACAAATTATATTTAAACCAAATTTTTAAAGTCTTCTACAAAAAACATAATAAATATGTATGAAGAAAGGACTTGAAGTTGTCAAAAAACTTGTAGGAAACTACTTCAAGAAGCAATGAAATAAATTTAGTTTACTGATTTTTTCAGAAAAGAAAGCAGTTAACTATAATACCTAAAATGAAGTTTTCAAATTAACCTTTCATAAAAAATACTCTATTATTGGTAATAAAACTACTGAAAGTAATCAATAAGAATTAAAGTTATCAAAATAAATCTTATAAGCCATCTTGAACTAACTTTGTTGAAGTATGAAGTCTTCCCCATCATGCTCCACGTTTTAAATAATGTTTCACCGGAACTACCTGATTTACATTTCTTTTCTAATGCTGTTTTGCAGTTGGATAACATAAAATCATAGTTACGGTACTTGAAGTAATTAGCAAACACTTTATTTTGCTTTACCTAACTAATTTGTAATTTTATTTCGATCAACTATCAAAACATTATCGATTCATCAATAAACATGGTCTGTAAGTATTAGTGCCAAGGTTGGATTTGATAATTTCAAGTAAATGGAACATCGGGTAGAAAGTTAATAATAAATATATTTTTGTTATATTCCAATGAGTAGGAAAATTGTATTTTTGGCGTTTCGTGACTTAATGTAAGCCTCTGCAGAAGTGACTTACGCCAAAAATACAATTTTCCTGCTCATTAGGATATTATATATATATATATATATATATATATATATATATATATATATATGCGAGGACTTAGCAACAAAGTATTTTGCTAAAGCTCTGGAAGAAATCATGAGGTTTTAAGTGCGATTTAATGAAAATAATCCATTGAAGAAGACATTAAGTGCATCAAACATTCCAGTAAAGACTCCAAGGTTAAAAAAACTGTCTACCTATTTTGATAAAAACATTTAACATGTATGGTCTTTCGTACGTTCTGATGGCGATTCACTATGTTGATGATAAACCAGATTTTAGAAAAATATTTGTATAATCTATCATGTCAAAATATCTAGTTAAGATCAAATGCCAAATAACAAGGCAGCTGTAGAATCTATTTTAATGGGTTTACTACCCACATTTTAAAAGAAGAAAGAAACATTAATGATACACCCCAAAGTTTGTAAAGGAACGTTTCTATAATACTATTTCGTTTCTTTCTTGGATTAATTACTTATGATAACAAAAAGTCACTGAATAATTCCTATTTTATTGGAAACACCAGTTTAGGTAGTGAATAAGATAATAAGTTTCGATATGAAATATGATAAATAGAAAAAAATGAATCTAGAGAAAATAGGTATTTTACATAAAGGTAAATATTTCAAAAGTATCAATAAACATTATGGACGTAAAGTTTAATCCAAAATTTTTGAATGATACTAGTTTAAATTATATTGGTCTGTGGGGTATGTGTAGGTTTTCAGGTTGATAAAACTTTGTTATGTTTGTAAGCTTGAGCTATATATCCACATAAATATGAATATATGCTATTAGATAATTCTCTCAATGCATCTGTGTATTTATAAGACAGGTTGTATTGTATTTCTTCAACGACTCGTTCTATACACAATATAAAATATTTGAACATAGTTGAAACATAAAAGAGGAGTTATCGATTCTGCATACTTTATGGATGTTGAGTTTTCTACTCAATATAAAAAGTGTAAGTGTTTATATGTGGATTTCATGATCCGTCAGTCGCATCACTTCGCAATCCAGTAATTTTATTACTCATAAATGTAGACTCATCAGATGGTGATATTGTTTCTAATTTATCATTTAATATATTTGTGATGACGCTTTTAGGTACCTCAGAGGTGAATTCTGTATCGCAGTTTGAATCTAATTCAGTTCTGTAGCAATTATGAAAATAAAATGAAGAACATAGTTTATACATACACATTCAACATTAATGTTGTTAATTATAATCGACTTCACTAGTTGAGGGCGCATGGTCAAACTTCTATGACTTCTCTTGGTAACCCCCAAGTGAGATACTCCCGTTTAATAGTCTCAAACTAATTCAAATCTGCTCACAATCGAATATATTATCCCCTCTGACTACTACAATGTTCTCATTTGTTAATCAAATGCAGAGTTTAGAAGAGCTCTGTCAGTGTCATATGATTTTATATGTGAGGTTATCCATCAGTTTTCTAATATTCAATAAGTGTGCGATACCCGTCATTTTAAGTTCATTCGGTAAATGAATGTTTTATTTAAGAGAGTAATTTTCACTCGTCATTTCATTTCAAGAGTGTGAAGTTGTCTACATAACTGTCTTCCAGAAATACACCGAGGTTGTGCATCCCAAGATGGTAAATGAAAAATACAAGTATAGTGAATGTTGAGGCTTGAATTGAATATTACTCACTTCCATACAATACCCCAACCCAATAAATGAACGGAAAATATACTGGATACAATATACCTATTAACTCGCTAAAAACGTGATGGATAATCTCACGATTCTATTATGTCAAATTATGTCAATCTATATATTTATGTTGCCAGTTACTGAGTAGCTCAGTTACAAGAAATAAAATTACCGTTAACTTTTACTATTACGTTTACAAAAGTGTTATATAGAAATTGTGGTATTCACTGATAAGAAATAAACTCGATCGAATCGGATAACAAATTGATTCTGACAGATAGCGATTTTATGTAACTACCTTATCTTTTTATTTGAATAAATCAGATTAACACAATCGTCTGTAACCCGAATGAAATACTTGTGGTGTTTAGTTATGTCATATACATAAGAGCTGATTTTATTACCACATGAATAATCTGTACACTTGGGTATACCGTTATTTACAAACTGTTCTCCTTCAATTTATTCAGATAGTTTATTTCTTTCATTTGCACTGTTGTTTTATGTTCATCAAATTACTCATTTATTAGTGATATTATGAGATGAAATTTTTTTTGTCTTAATCAAACCGTATGTAACTGAGAACTTTTATTTTTAGACTCACTGTCGCTGTTATACGACTTTTTCCGTTATATGACTGTTTAATTCAAGTAATCACTAAAATCCAATTGTTGATGAACATTTATTTCAATCTTTATGATTTCTCAGACAATACCTTATAAGAATCGAGCTTATGAATGTCAATCTTTCCCCAAAAAACCCTATTTCATTAATAATAATATTACATAGTTAATGGATCAACATTAACAACGTACAAAAATAATCTGTATTTAGTTAGTTTTCACTCAATACCTCATTTATTTGACAAATAACACCATTTCGGCCATTTAGGATTTGTGAATCATAAATTCCTTTGCCTGAAAAATTAATAAAATCTCTTGCTGTACATTAACACTTGTGTTCAGTCGATTTATAGAACCCCACTAAATAAACACCAATAATAGAAGCACACAGAATGTATTCAAAATAGTTCCAACTAATAAATTCACAACATAATATATTGTAAAAAGTTGTGATGACTATCTTGAAATGAATAGGGAATTCCAATGTTTACTCATTAATTTATGTTGTAATAAAAACCTCATTACATCATGCTAATCATTCGTATGATGGGCATTGTAATATTAAATGAATTAATAATATCACCTTACCTATATGAGTATTTTGAATAATCATCTTTTAATGTTTCTATATTTTCAATGAAATGCTTTCTTATATTCTTGCCAGTAAGATATGCCTAAAACAAGAAAAGATATTTAAATGGGCTCAATTTAAATGTTTGATAAAAATCAAATTGTCTTTTGATTAAAACAAAGTCTTGTCATGTACAAGGTCATATGTTGTCTCTATACTGATAACATATCTATAATTTTGATAGTAATATTAATAAATTTAACAATATTCATTAGATAATATGCTGTTTAAACATGAAAGAAAAAATACAACAAGATCACGATTTTAGATGGAATACTTGAAAAAGAACACAAATCAACATTCGTCCGTTTGTACTATAAATGACATTCTATCAATGGTTTTTCATTTGGATAATACTGAAGTTAACCAATGACTTCAATGCTATGTATGATGTATAAATTTAGTGTAAGTATACAATAAAACCTATGAAAAACATACGATTCTGAATTGACTAGTGTTTTAAAATAACAGCAATTACATAGAGAGTTGAACAACGTCAGTTAATGATTACATCCTGTTTAGGTATCACATTTTTTGTGATTTGGGAAAAAAAAATCAAAATTCCTCTCTATTTATTAGTAAAACTACTTCAAGTAATTTGACTTGTAAAAATATTCTACAATGAATTATAGTAGCTCACATGCAATTGAGTCCGTTCACATTTAATTTGGTTAAGCACTTTTGTTAACTCATTTAACAGACAGAGTCATTCGTACAATAAAGACTTATCATATATCATTATACCTTTATTATTGTTGCACTTGTATATGTATGCTTGAGCATTGCTTACTGCCTACGCGTATATTCATTCTGCTAGCTTTACTTATAGTCGCTTAATTGATTCGATTATTCATTCATTTCACTATGTATATATATGTACATTTTAATCCTATTCACTTGCTCGCTCATTCGACTTGCACGCTCACTCACTTGCCCGCTTGCTTTTCGGAACTACTCTCTCATGCTTGCCCAGCGTATCTGTAATTTTGGTGATCTGTGTGTGGTGCAATAATAAACTTAGTCAACACTTCGGATTCGCCCTCTGATTAACACCGATGGGACATTATCTAGTGACGGTTATCAGGACGAACAATATACGAAGTTTAAGGACTATATTGAATACCGACCACCACAGAATATTCCTGGTCAGTAAATCAACCGTTTAGATATTCACGTGTTATCCTTCCACAAAATGAATGAAATCTTTATTTTGAAATAAAGATAATCGGTTATTCAAAACGGTTTTATGTTGCATTACATAAAATGAAGCATATGACAAACTCTTTGGAATTATTTAATTAGTATCTTAACGGGATTATTTTTATCAAAAGTGATTTACATTGATATAATACAATGACATGTGTTTCATAACATTTTACTTTCACAAATCATAAAGATATTGGGATGTATGAATACATGATTAAATCAACTAACTGTTATTGGCTTTCATCCCACTTAGGATCCTAAATATATATCCATTACAAATCAGATTTAAACTAAAACAAAATAGCTGTCCGTTATCCTCTGGTTAGTATATAGATTTTTAGTTGTGATCCCTTTATAATGAAAATTAACTTCGAGATGAACAATCTTATCAAGCTCCGTATTCTAACATTGAAATTTTTAAAAAATTCTTTTTCTATGTAGTCGAATGCCTGATTTCTTAAATCGGAATGCTTTTACTTGGAATTTTCATCTGTTCTGTGAATCTCGGTTTCAAGAAATTACAGTCATTTAGTTAATCTTATATGACAGGCTAGACAGAATATACACCATATATATCACAGAATTTCTAAGTATTATTATTATTATTCAGTACTAACTTCTACTGTTATTTGCAAGAAAACAATGAAAATTAATAAGAATAATAACCAAGACTTCTGAAATACACGTTATACTATATTACATCATGTTTGCTTATGACAGACACACTTTAAAGATGCAAATAAATCAGTTTCTTTCTCTCCATATTATTAATTTTGGTTCATTTACATGTTCCAATTTTCGGACACCATTTTAGTACTAAGAATATATTCGATTATGTCCGAAAGCTAATACTCTAGTAATAAAAAGCAGAATAGACATATACATGTTTTAGCTTATTTATGACACTTACTTGCGTACAAGTAAAAAATATATTGGTAAGATAAAATCACGTATTATCAGGTAGATAAAGTGTATTATAAAGATTGGAATGGATTAGGATAGCTGATACGTGTTTCATATTATACATATGTATTGGATAATGTAATCTATATTCATTATTAGATTAAAAACGCATAACAATCTGCAGCGGAATTCTCAAGAGCAACGGTAAATTTTTATATAGAACTGATTTACTGGCTAATTAGAGGTTTTATCAAAAAATGAGTATTCAAACAAGGCCAGAAAATGGCAGTCCTGTTGAACGGATACTGTTTAACAAAAATAATAAAACATTTCCGAATTACAAAAGATACTTTTTGACGTGCAACGACTAGTTAACGTACGAAGTATACTTAGTCGGTGTAAACAGTGTACGGTTCATGTATCTGTTTGATGAGAGTGTACTCTATGAGCTGCATGATTTGAGTGTAAAGTTTTCATTGTTATTCCGAATAAAACCATCATTTTTCCTCAATTAAACCACCCAACTGGTAAAATGTTATGCTACAAAAACATGTCTTGGGCTATAAGTCGTTTTCATCATTATTTTAAAGTCTTACTTCTTTTAGACGAATGTTTCTGCAATGAACCTATCCGAAAGTTAATCCAAAACAAGTCGCTTGTTAAATAGCCTGATAATTAAACACCTTGAATTGTCTCTTACATGTTACCTCTATGACTGTTTCTTTCACAGCTTGATAGTTAATGAATAGACCTATTCACCAATTAAATAAAAAGCTAAATGAACACGAAAACAAAGTCATATGGATTGATATGAATATTCGTCAAATTAAATAAAAAGGAATTTAGATGCCAGAAATGCAGAAAACTTTATATATGAAAATTTTATTTGAAATAATCGTAATGACTTAAGTTAAAATGGTTCCAGAGTTTCGTCCAGCAAACTAATCCGAGCTTTTATATTCAACACTGTTAACGTCCTTTTCAATCAATGTTGAAGTCTCATTGAGCAAACTAATGGTCAAAATTTTAATCGCTTAATTTAGTGAAATTGTATTTACTTATTTACTTACAATAGTTACCACCCATTAAATCCTCAATATTTTATCACCTTAGTGTTACACCTAGTTGGTTAATATTTTTTCCCTTTTTCATTCCAATTATATTCTTTATTAAAAGTTGAATAGATCTGATGACAGAAGAATACGCTCATGATAAATACAAGGCCGAAACCAAGATATTTTTATCTTGCAATGATCACAATATCTTCAGATTGGTGAGCCAGAATTTAATGGTCCTATTTCTCGACTTCTGATGATTTGAAGTGTAGGGTCGTCATCGTTCAGTGGAGTCACTGACAACTGTTTGAATCTCCATATGGTTTGTTTCAAATGTGAAAGACACTAGAATGTCGGGAATACTTCTAAAATCCTATATGTTGTCGTTATTATTATTATTTAAATGGGTGGTTCGTGAAAATTTGTTTATGCTGGAACGACTTAATCCTCCATGATTATCAACGGTTCTCAAACTGAACTAATTCAGTGATAAAAGATGTCTCAACAAACCAAATATTTATAAATAGATGACAAATAAATTTAATTTGAATTTCATGAATATAAGTAATCTACTTTGCAATTGTTATTTATGTCAGTTTGTTGAAGAGATAGTTTGGTAAGCAGTGAATAAATAAACAAAATATAATTAATTTATCTAACTGAATATCCATACAAATATATATATATGTATTAATGAACCTACTTTATGTTCAGATTTATCTTTTACTATACTCATTTCTTCTAATTGATGACAAAGTACACTACGTTCGTGTAACATAAAAGATAAACGACGCTGTAATAAATCGAGCTGACAATCTCTTTCAGATAATTGTAATAGTAAATCTTCGACTGATGTTTCTCTATTTTCAATCTAGAAAACAAAAAGAAGTTTATGAAAATAGTTGATATTACTTGTATAGATTTTTTTTAAATCGAAATAATTTTACAATTACAGTGTTTATAACTGGAAGAAATTTAACGGGCTGACATTTATGTATCATCAACATCATCATCAATATAATTTACTGAAACCGCAGTCCAGTGCTTATTGAACAAGATTCAAATTATCATCATCCAATGAATATAATTAACAAAACGTTTTGTAAGAAAGTGTTTCTGGGTAAACACACTAATGTTCTAATAAAAACTGAAATGTATTATTGAAGTACAAAAATTAACCAATATGAAAGGTAACAAATGAAAAGTATGTTAAGAAACACTTACTAATCAACCAGTACAAGTTTCTCATTTAGTAACAAATATGTCTCAAAAAATTCAAAGACGTTAAAAGATTGTATCTTTTATGTAAATACTGAAAATTAGTTCTTATTAAATTCGCATGAATTTGTACTAGAAAGCTAACTGATTACTTAAATTTGATTAATCTAACTCATGAATAAACTTTTCAAATAGATTCTTATTCAAGCAATGAGTAAACAAGAACATCTACAATCTTATTTCTATTCGAAACACTTTATTACTTTTAATATCAACCACAGCTTCATATGACAGTGACTTGTAATAGGTTAGAGAACCAATTGTTCAAATACATCACTTTTCATAATGTGTAGAATTTTGTTTTTGAAATCATAATTCTTCACTTCGATAGCAAAAGAGCTCATAAGTGACCGTCAATTAGTTGAAATACTTTTGACTATTAAACAGTGTATAACTATTTCTATGATTATGAGCTAAGATAGATCGTGGTTAGAGGTGAAATCAAAGACTTGTGCTTAGCCCTATTTGGGACTTGTCAGTTGGATGTACCTGCATCCCACAGTTGATATTCCCTCCGGGACCGTTTGCTTCAAACATGATCGTGTTATCCACTTAGCTACTGAGTCCTGATAGACACTTACTTGTGCAATGGGGTGAAGTTTAAATTCATTTTGTATTGTTTGTTTAAATCTTTCTATTGATGTTCAGGTTTGTAATTGATCATTCTCCTATTGGCATATGTACATCCTGTACAGATTGCCTCAAAATTGCCTTAAGTCACAGTTATTACAATACCAAATGTACCTTTATGATTATGATATTGAAATAATCAAAAAAATTGTTTTGCAAAATCTAAATGTATAATAAACTAACATTAAAATGAACTTTGTATTGTCTTGAAATATCTGATAAAATGTGTTTTTAAAATATGAAAAGGAAAGAATTACAGATTTTCACTACCACGATTTGTTCTTACAGATAACCGGTAAACAATTATTGCTGTTATGAAATTAAAGAAATGTGTGAAATTTTCCACAATTGAAATTGTTGGGGTATTCAGAAAATACCGCAGAAATTATCTAATGCTATTCCTGAATGAGAAATAGTGTCGTTTCCCCATTGGTCAATATTCTTTCAATGTGTCATTTTCCCGTTGTTCAATATTTATTTGTGTCATTTCCTGGAGGTCAAATCTTGTACATATGTTACTTTCTATTTTATGGTACGATGGGGTCTGTTTGACTTGTATATAAACAGAGTATGTTTGAAATATAATGATTCATATCGCAGAGGCTGAGACTTGCGTTCTGGACTCAACTGGCTGGGCTAGACAGGGAAGCAGGGCCAATCCGAACTCTAGGCTGTTCTTACGTGTTTTACGAGTCTTTGGTCCGATCGATAATTCACTGCCCTCTACTAGGCGGCCCTCAATATATAACAGAAATTAAGTATGATTAAATCCGTCTTTCTCGTTTTACTATGTATGATGTAGGAAAGTTGAAGGAGAACTGGTTAAATTATTTATCTTAACACTTCATAATTATTGGAAACGATCAGATAAAAATACGTTGTACGAGCTGAATACAAACTGTTATGTGTTAGTGAAAACTTACCACATGTTAATTAGCGCAAGTTTTTAACATTAAGTCTGATTTATTCAGAAATTTCATCACTGAATAAAGTAAGCAACTAGTCTAATTCATTAGCTGGGTGTATACGTTTTACCGAATTCTAAGCCTAACTTGTTATGATGACAGGTATTAATGTGATCACGAGATTATCACCTTATTGAGACAGTTAGATAAGAAATATAAATTGTAATTCAATAAGCAGAAATAAAATTTTTGAACTAATTAAGCATTCACTTACAAATTATTTATGTTACCTAATAAGAAATCAAGCTATACGCTGAATAATAAATATAGATTTTGTTATATCCTAATGAGTAAAAAATTGTATTTCTGATGTTTCATGATTCAATATAAGCCATTTCTTCAGAGTAATTAAAAAACGATACCCGTAAACTTATATGCTGAATAGCTTTCTGATAATATATTTGTACATCTCTATTAATAACTAAGCTTGCTTGGAAAACGGATGGACAACATTTAGTTTGTAATTTCTTGTTAGTATACATTCAATGTAAATGAAAAACGTTGTTTAGTGTTCCTCTTGACTCTGAATTGTTCCCCTAACAATTTATAGTTAGAAGTTATATTATTTAAATAATTTCATACTTCACGAGAAAAACACCTATTTTCAACAACGACACCATTAAAGAACATGTAAAGAAATGTTACTAACATTTTGTTTGCATGTACCACACTCAATGTTTTCATTTGATGCTAAAATGAATAGAAATAAAACAAATAAGAAGAAATAGTAAACATTTAAAGTACAAATCAATAAATTACGTGTAATATGTTATGCTATTATATATATATATATATATATATATATATGTTGGTTGAGGGTATTTGAAAGATAAACTAACTCCGAAAACTTACTGCCGCCAACGTTAAGTCACTAAAACTAAAAAGAGAAAATTGTAACTCGATCAATTCTAATTCGATTAACACAAAAATGAGTGCATATGACAACAGCTATTACGTGATCACAAGCATATATATTATGCGATAATACATATAAATCGATATGCTTGTTAAATTCCCAAGAGCATATTCGCAAATGATCATCAAGACTTATTGAATAAACTTCCATAATTATTTTCTATCAATAACCATTATAATCAACAGTAAATAAATTGATTATTGTGTACTAACTAGGACAACCTATTTTAAATAACTGAAATGGGTAAATTCTATTCAACAATTGTGTAGTTCAACATTTTAGTTTCTAATCAATATATATATATATATATATATATATATATATATATATATATATATATATATATATATATATATATATAGTGATAAATGTGAATCTTCAAAACCGTCATTGTCGCAGTCACTTTAATCACCCTCGAAACTTGAACATATTTTTACTGAAAGAATAAACACTATATATACGATGTTTTAACAGTCTATTGATATGAATGATATGAGTGTTTTCAAAAGCAGACTAAAAATTTGTAAACATTTATTACATCTCCAGTTGTTAAAAATCGAGAATGCAATCGGTCAGTCATTGAAGTTTGAAATCATAGGTACATAGTGTGACTTTGATTATGAAAATCAGCAATGGGTTTCGGATACATCTAGTTGACTAATCGCAAATGAGATACCACTGTTAGCCACGATTTAAATACAATATAGACAATAAAAATCCCACAACACTGATGCATGTATCAAGAATTTACATTAAGGTGTTAGGATTGATTTTACTTCGAATCGATATCAGTAATACAACGATTATGAACCAATAGTTTTGTTATTTTCTAAAGGATATTAATGATACAGACCAAAAAATAATATCTGTTTTCTCGATCAAAATAAGAATCCGGAAAATATTGAACTCTGGACCACAACAGTGCTCACGCTCATTTCGTTAACTTGAAAAGTAAACAAGAACAACACGGAATCATTTTCTTATTTCATTTGATTCTCATTAGATGCATATAATCGGTAATACTTTAAAATCAGAACTTAAGGTAAATTTCAACCTAATTATAAGAATTGGGTTGATGAAACCTTGTTAACATGAATATACATCAATATGGTGTAGTAAAAGACCCTAATTAAATCGAATCGTTTAGTTAAAATATAGCAAATAAATATCATATTTAAAATAACGTTCTGAAACATCAATGAGGCTAGTGCTAAAAGACTATAGCCCTGAGATTTCAAATAGTTGTATAACGAAATAATCTTGCAGATCCATAATTGTTGTTATCTAAAATAACTTATGAGTTTTAACCAAAGACAAGTAAAATATTCTCACAAACAACCAAAAGATTCTATAAAACGACAGAATGTCTACGAATAGCTAGTCATTTAATTTCACTCGCCTAACAGTTTTCCAACTAATAACAGCTTCAAACAATCTATGACTTCCTACAATACAAAAGTGGTTGAATCAAACAGTAATCTAAAATGTTATTTCACAGAAAACAAAGTGCATTCGTATCACTCTCTGAACGAAAATATAAGCTAGGAAAGTAGTAGAGAAAACTGGTTTTCAACATAGATAAATCCTATGAAGGTCATTAGTGGTACAGACAGTTAGGTACGATATGTTACTGTCGTTTTTACACCATGCGCAGTATGACCAATAATCATAATTAGGATCGATTAAACTACCATGCACCAATCTACTATTGTGACAGATAAAACAGAAAGCATTTTTCTTCATCAAATATCAGAGAAGTAACAAATAATTCGGTAGTAAATAGTAAATCGCAATTATTCATGTATGGATATGCACAAAATAGACGAAACATTTTACTAATTGAATAAAAATATCTTAAATACTTTATTATTTCTTCATTCCAGTTGTATATTGCTACTTTGAACAGATTTACAAAATATTAGTTAGAACAGTACACTGTAGTAATTATAAATCAACTGTGGCGGCGAATATGAATAGCACATCCTTCACTAGGCTGTTAATTTATTAACGACCAAAAAAATCTCAATGTTATGCCAGAAAGAAAAAACTATCGACAAATCATAAGTTAAATTCATGTTTAATAATATCTATCAAGCATAATGTAAAATAATAAATTGAAAAAATCCGCCGAATATATACAGAGCCCTGTCTAAGGATGCATTTAGTCGTTGATTGATATTACTACTGAAAAGTGGCTATTTTATGAGCTTAAGTAGTATGATGTATCAGTCTTTCGTCAGAATATATGCTGATTAAATGCATCAGCTCTATAGTACTTTGATTTATAAAAGCTTGAAACATGAAAATAATCAAGAAATTGACCGTTGATGAAACCATGAGTTTGCTTTTTTATACAACAATCGTGGATAGTAATCTAGACCATATAATTCAACTCCTTTTCTGTAGGACACCCTTAGATGTAGGGGCATTCAAAACTGTGAAGCGCTAGAGAGTTGTTTCATCTTATTGTGAAATTTGTCGGCACCCTGTACCTATAACAACATTTTGGATTGAAGCCAAGAGGTTCATGTCTTATGGTGAACATAGTATATTTAGGATGTTGAGTAGTAAACTGAGTGATTCACGTTTCCAAAGTCAAAGAATTTCTGAAATAATACAACTGTGATCCAGTCCCATTAGTTATGTCTGCCTAATTTTTAATAATGTTCAATCAGCTAGATTAATCTTTTTCTTTGGAATTATGGAAATTTATTTAGAAGTTAGTCATAAGTTAACACATTACTTGGTTGTATAGATAAGCTCAACTTTGAAACTGTTTTACTCATCAAGTGATGTCAGATAAAATGAATCAAGAGCACTGCAGAACTGTCAAATCCTAGTTTAAAACTTTTAAGTAGTATGTATTCATCCTCAGAAGCTTCAAGTCTGGTAGTGAGTATGTTATCCTTGAAACCTCTAAACATCAAATCAAAAAGTCGATATTTCCAATTAATAAGAAATCGTGACATCATTGCTAGTCTTTTAGTATCAACTACCAAATAAGACTAGTCGCTTATCGAAGCATGCACTAAGTTAGTATCTGTGATACTGTAGTATCATGATCAATGACAAAATCTTCATATTATTATTGTTCATGCTTGATACATTACCATTCAATGCATATTTTCTATTGTTTACCTTGTGGTCCATAATTATTTGTACAAGAAATTGGATCAGTGCGTTCATCATGTTGATTATCTCGAATACACCATAAATTAGAAATTTCTTTTTTTAAAAGATCATTTTCTTGCAAAAGTAGAAAATTTTTATGTGATAAAATTTTACACTTTGACCAATGTTTAGTATTCAATTCAAACAGATGGCGAATCTGTCGAAAATGAAAAAAAAAAAACGAAACCAAAAACATTTTATTCCATAGTGTATATTCAATTAAATAAAACTGGATTCATAATGTGTGTGAAATACTCAATTTATCACTCACTAACTTATTTTTCATGTTGCCTACCTTTTACTCTCTTTTAATCTTCTACTGTTTTTTTGTTTTTTTTTTAACCAAAATTTAACTCATGAAGTAAAGTACCATTAGCAATTGTCTCAAGTGAAATCTATTTAAAATTGTATTTATTGACGCTAAGTACTAACTAAACATAATAGTACTACGTTATTTGTCGTGAATGATTTAATTACGAAGTCTATTGGGCAAGATTGTCAGCAATTATTACAAACAGAACCATTAAATCATTCTTATTTAAAGACAGTAGCAGTAATTGGTTTTATTGAAAGATATTTGTTATCTTCAAATGTGTATACATCCTCATTGACTGATCTGAGAAATTAATCTTTGACCATTTGGATAATAAATATTTATTTTACAGGTAAATAGAACGGCTGTATATCAAGACGCGTCTGTTGACTGACTCCAAAGAGTTAATTTAATTTAAAATAGGCAGTGACGAAATAATCTAAAACGATAGTGTGAGTCATCGTCGAGAAAATCCAGATCACACAATACATGACTAATCGAAGTATTTCCTTCAATTTCCTTAGCTAATCTGTTCCCGAAAATAGTGTAGTGAACGAAGACTTGTTGGGGATAATCAAATTATTGTTTTACGTAAAATTACAGAGTCTTGGTAAAATACGAAAACTATAGACTAAATACAATATTTGCACATCAGTTGTCTTTTAGATGCTTCACGACTATCGATTCTGTTGTTACTACAATTACTTTCTGTATATATTCCCATCAATTATACCTTCTCAAACTTCTGCTTCCAGGCATTTCACTTCTGATTGGTGCTACATACTACTTACATCTGTCAACATAAGTAGCACACACCACAGAAGTATTCAACACACAAAATCTTTGAAAAAATACTGATCACTTGTTGTGACAATGTGCCCATAATCGTCAACCATATTATTTTTGATTGTGAATCTATTTAATTCCTGAACAAATACGTAACTGTCGAGCTTTTTCGGACTGACAGTCACTTATTCAAGAAAACTGAGTAAGACAACACTAAAATAATTTTCATAGATGTTAGTCTCATCCCAATCTACACAAACACAAAGTAACATCAATAAGTAGTAAACACATAAAACGTTTCGTCTATACATCACTACACATCACTTAGACGAAACGGGGTCTACCCCAACATAAAACATTATCAAATTATCATTTTGATTAAACGAAATGTAAAGCATGGCCCATATTGCTGATACGATATAAATAAGTAAAGCCTCATTAGTCGCCAATGATCTTCATTTATCTTCTATCAAACAATTATTGTTTGTAGTAACATTTCGTCAAATTTTTTTGCATAAATAATAGTTTTAATTATCCCATCTAACTAACGATTTTGTTGAATAAAATCAGTTGGGTTGAGACTTTAGTATTTGTTCCGTAGGAAAATCATCAGTTCAACTACTTCAGTAAGTGTAGTACTTTGTTGTGTCGATTATCTCGTCATAATAAAACTCCCGACAATAGTTAGCTACTGATTATCTTTAAATAATAAAATCTAAAATACATTATCATATCTGATGAAAAATCTTCATCAATCATAAAAATAAAAGAATATTATCATTAAAAGATTGAGGGTCATTTTGAAAGAAAGTTGAAAAGCTTTAAATTTTATGCGCTTAAATTGTATTTTAAAAAAGAACGAAATTTTAAAAATACACATAAACAAGTGTAGAAAAGCAGAAAATTATCACTCTACATTTAGTCTAAGTTTTGACACAGAATGACTCAGAATGAAATCAGCTGGTGAATCAGTGAAGAATCAATGAGGACTAGAGTCGTTTCATTATCATTTGTGAAATTTTACAAGTGCAAATCTACCAGTCCATATATATAAGACGGATTTTAAATGCTCATAAGTGAGTGGTTCAAAATCAGAACAAAAAACAATGGCTGTCTAATGTTCCCATATTCTTCAACGGTTCTTTTGTTGTTGTAAGTCCGTGAAGTAACTTATCCTTGGGAGTGATTGGTCACTAGAAATCATCTAAATAAATAATTTTTGGACGAATGATTTAAGCATTTACTTAGTAAAATATTGGGTTTTACAAATACATCAGACAAAACCTAACTCTTTAATCAATATGTTTAACACTGACACATTACTTCCCTATTGTTGTTATAATATTAAGACCGTACTGATCATAAAGTTATTTGCCGTTAATAACGCTAGATCATACGAGACATAATCGTTTCATTCTAGTACGGCGCAGTATAAATAAACTCTAGCTAAACAATGAGCCCTTTCACAAAATTACCATTAAGGAATACTGTTTAAGTGTCTGATGACACAACCTAATAAATGACTTGAAACACAATGAATGACAATCTATGATAAGATTATTTTACGGATTATGACAACCTTCTAAGTACCATTTGTATGTATTAAACATCTAGTTACATGTCGCGAAGGTTATATGTAAAGCGATCAGTAAGAAAACTTGAAAATATACTGGATGAATAAAATAGCTAGTTCACGTCTGCGTAACTTATTTTCATCAGTGAAAGTGATATTCAATAAAATTCATATGAATAACATCATTCCCATTTATATTATATGTTAACTTATTATACATATAATGCCTATTCACTGAAAGATTTGTACCTATTTATGTCAGTCAAAGAAAAAATCTATACTTATAAGCATCGGACACTAATGCATCACACCCTCAGATACATTCTTACTCACATAGGGGTAATTTTTAGAATTCAGCACCCTATCCTGCTATCAGTTATTCGCTTAAATATACTGTTTTTCTCTTAAAAACAACCTAATGGCATAGGAAACAATCTGTCTTTTTTCTACGAAGCAAAAGACGACAAAATCCATGCTGATTTAAACAAACACTATTCATTCTCTTTTCTCTATCCTGATTTGCCCTAATACTTATGCGTATGCATGTGTATGTTTGCGTACATCACAATTTTGTGTCCTGTTTATTTACCAAACATAGATGTAAAATTTTTCACTATCCCTTTTTTTAAGAATTGACTTTCAAGAATCAGTTTATTACTGACAATATTGTCTTCATTTAGATCACCATTAGGCTTTATTTTGGCATGAACAATATGCATATTACTCTTCACACCACAAAACTGTCAGATGGAAAGTTTGAAACTTAGTACTTCTGCATAAACCAGTTGTTAAGAGAAACTTCTAAGATATCTGTAACTTCATTACCAAAGTGGAAGACGCAAATGTTTGTAGAAAACTTATGGCTGATTTACATATCGTACCTGTATTCATTAGTGTTTCACAATTGAGTTTAAATGCAAACAAATATCAGAAAAACAAATTTAACATTGGTTTCCCTGAACATAATTTTGCAAAACTACTTTTCAGGCATAAGACGAACGTCCATTTTTTCGTTGACAATATTTATAATAGACACTGTAACTGAACTGCTACGGCCTCATCTTTGAGCCCAATTTTAGTTACTTTCCTTCTAACCAAAATAGAGAATGGACTCCTATAGGAAGTGAACGAGAAGTTTGATTTACACTCCCATTATATCGACGATACAATTACCATCTTCTATGTGAATATCAATAGAGAATTCTTGAGTCAATTCAACAATGTAAATCTAAAGATCACATTCACCTGTGAGAAAGAATTTGACAACACATTTCATTTTATTGACGTCTCATTAAATCGATGACCTGTTAAGCAGAAGCGTGTATAGAAAGAGATCCTCTGTGTGTCGACGCACGCACTTACTTAGTCTTACACTCACTCTCTATGAAAGAAATCTAGTTAGATGACTTACAAACGGAACAAAAATAATGTGCTCAGACGACAGCGTAAAAGAGTTAGAGTTCATCAACGATATGTTGGTCAAAATACGGCACCTTTAGGTCCTTTTGTAGAAGCACATGTGTATAGTGAACAAGAAGTTTGATATATCTATAGATAAAAAGAAATTCCTCTCTCTAACAATACAATTCTACTTGGATATAGCTAACAATGTCCTAGATAATAGACTGTTGAGAGCGGTTGAAGAGAGTTTCTATCCAGTTAATCTTTGTCGTTTTCCAGTCAACCACTGATATTTATTCAAACAAGAGATACGTTGTCTGATTTCACTTCTTTGATGTGCATCAACAAGTTCACGTGCTACTGTAGAGAACATTATATTGAGCATAACACTAATAAACTTAACCAAATAATTAGTGAACATCGCTCTGCATGGTCTAAAAATGATCAAATAAAAATAATATGTAGGTTTATTTTATCGACAGTCGTCATGTGGTTAATAAAACTAATGCATTCCAAGTGATCAGTTTCATAATGGAATTCGATCTCGTCTCCAACAAATTTCAGAAGCTGTGGGGATTCGAATTAACAATCCCAGTTTATTTATTCAGAAGAAATCTATCTCTTCCTTGGTTGGATAAGATGATGAACAGTCTAACTTATTTCTTCGTATTCTTTGCTTTACTTCACCGCCCTTTCGCACAACTTCTGCACTATCTGATTAACCGCACATTTACTATACCAGTTTGATAATTTTAATTTTCTTCAAATATTTTCTCAAGTTTTGACCTACTTTCCATTCCCAAAAATTTGTTTAAACTTTTATTATTTCTCTTATTCTCATCACTACTAGTACACTTGTTTTTTACTAACAATTCATGATGAGACTATAATTTATAGACGACCTTTGAACGATGCTCAAGTGACCTTGGGAATGCCAATGTCCATCTACTCTTTCGGGCTAAATGTGCGTTATAAATCAGTATGATGAACTGAGACTATGATCTACAGTTAATGGGTAAGAATAATATTTAGGGTTTTCATCACAAACTGACACCAGCTAAAATGCCAAGATGCTAGTTAGCCAAATGGACAAATAAATTTCGTGCCGAAATCCATGACCTGTTGTGCTAAACCCGATTGGTTCGTCCAAATATTATAGTCTCGCCCAATTTATAGTTTCCATTTATTATACTTATTTATGTAATTTATCTCACTGTTATCGCTGACTCATAAACTTCCTTGATTGATTTAATACCTTTATATATACATATAAATATTACGGTTTATAAGAGTAAAGCTTAATAGGGATTTAACTGGAAACAATATTGTTCACTTGCATGTGTTATTTTAATTTTAAAAAATTTTTTTTCTTAACTTGACTTGATCATTTCGAATATCTAATGCTTTATATGTATGTAATGAAGACGACTCGTTTTTTAATGTTAATATTTTAGGAAGAATATAATTAGTGACCATCGTAGCATATGAACTTCTTGAAAGGATACTTCAATATTACTGCTCAAATTTTTCCACACTTAAAAAATTATTCTTTTTGGCTAAAATAAAATGTTTTCTTTTTGAAGAAAACACAGGCTTTAAAATGTTTCTATCAATCCCTGTAAAGTGTCTATGCGCAAATGGTATAACATGAAATTTATTTAATTAGCTAGTTAATTGATTTCGTATCAACTGCCTATAATCTTTCATAGTCAAATATCACAATAACCGGTAAAATTTTCCATGATATAATTCAATAGAAATGAAGTTAATTTCTCATTAACATGAACAGTTATCAAATAAGTGCTTTTTATTTCGGAGTTATTGAAGTACTAAGCACTAATTAATATCCATTGTAAACAAAACTTTTAGATATAAGTATCATTACCAAGATTTGATTTGATAATTTCGAATAAATTGAGCATTGGGTAGTTTGTTATAAATGAATAATATATTTGTAATATCCCAATGAGTAGAAAAATTAGGTTTTCTGACGTTTCGTGATTTAGTTTAAGTTACTTCTTCAGGAAATAAATAACCAAATTAAAATTACTCCAAGTTTAAATAGTACAACGGAACAATAAGAATAATATGTGATCAATCAAAAAATTTTAGATTCCGATTTAATAAAAAAAAATGAATACATTCATCAGAAATCATATTGATTTACCTCCTGTTCTAGATTCATACATTGATTCTTCCACCAACGGATTGTTGAAGACAATTCTAACAATTGTGTTCTTGTATGCTAAGAATTGAAATAGATACGCAAAAATACTTATTAGTGAATAGATGACTATATTTCTTCAAAAAAAATCTGATTTATTAAGAGAGTCTTCTTTAAAAACAAGAAAATTTGAAGAGGATGTTCAATAGGTTGGTTATCTGAATACGTTAGCAATACTGAAACCTTTTTATACACTTTTGTAGAATAAGTATAAGCAACTAATTGAGTTACAGAGATTACTGTTTAATTTCTTAATAGAAAGATAAATAAATAAAAGTGAAATGATAACATAAGTATTTGATTAGATAAGGTTTTAAGAAGTACCAGATAGTTGTGTTCCGATTAGTCAACGACCACACAATAGTGTGCACCTATGAATCCATATAAAATTGAAATCTGGACTTTATAATACTATGGTAACACTCGCGTGTAATTTTAAATCCGAACTAAATATATAATTGTTATGGTCTTTTGTTTATAACAGTTGTATAGTTGATACTGATCCGTGATGAATATCAGCTTTATAATGAACAATCTTCATATTCCTCTATCCAATCATATCTAAAATAGTTTACACCAATCCATCCCACATTATCTATCGGGGAATTTATTTTCACGTTGTTTTTTCTTAGATCCTGTGTGCTGATATCTAGGTTGTTTCCTAATGTGCATTAGGTGTGTTGTGTTTAGCGTTTCAATTCATTTTTAGTTCTTTCATTGGGTAAGTCTTGTACATTAATGTGTGATTTTTACTAAAAATTTCATTTCACGCGTCTAGAGTTAACAGTAGTTTTCTATGTTAAGATTATCAATATATCGCAATTTAATAATGTAAGATGTAAAACAAGAACATTTTCAAAGTTAGCGCTTAGAATGAAATATCTATTGAAAACTACACGTTAATTCCCTGCACTCACTCCCTAAATTAGGTGTAAAATGGACGGAACAGTCTGAAGCATAACATTTATAAAACAGTAAAAAAATTACAGATAACCTTAGTGAAATATATGTACTGATCATATTGAAAATAGCTGTATGAATCAAATGTCGTGTTGTTCATGATATGAAAAATAAAACAATATGTGATTTCAGTTTGTGAAAAATAACGTTATCTATTTTCTAATAAAATTATTCATCATTTTACAGAGAAAATTACATTCATAAAAAAAACATAAATCAAAGTCAAACTCAGTTTTATTAAGCTACTATCCATAATAAATTCTAGAAAGTGAAATAAATCTCGTAAATCTAAGTTATTTAAACTAACTGCGAAATTTTTTAGCAACAGTAGGAATGCTGTAAAACAATTCGTTACTTAAATCGAATTTCGGGTTACCACTAAACTCAGTCTTTAAAGAAAATGTCAAACGGAAAATAACGGAAACATTGTACTAGCACAATCTAAAAACGTTTAGGCAGAATCGTCAACAAAGTAATTAGTTAACTTGGTTTTATTATTTAACTTCATATTGGCATTTGTATTTCATTTAGGTGACAGAACCTCAATTAACCCCCATAAATATGATTGTGATTGATGAATTATGGTCATTTTCATATTCTGATCTCAGTGAACAATCAAAAGTTTAGATCGCCTAAGCATAATTACAACTATTTAATCGTTGTAAATAATTTCATAGATATTACTGAGAAATTCGATCCATTCGTGAGAGATGAATAATTGATAAGTATATTATTTCATTGAAGTCATGAACCGCCACTGAAAACTTGGAAGCTGTGGACGGCCATTTCGTCCTAGTGTGAGACTCCTCAGCAGTGGGCATCTACGATCCCGCATGTAGGATTCGAACGCATGGCCTTGGCTCACCAAATTGAAACGGCCGTTCAGTGCTTCCAGGTTTTCATTGGTGATCTAACGTTAACCGGTTCATGATCTCAATGAAATTCAGCAACCTCTACAATCCGAAACCGATAAATATATCACATCTTCAGATTGGTAGTTGGTAAAGATGTTTTAGTGTTTAAGGATTATTCCAATCGCGGACCAATATCATATTTGGATCTGTTGAAAGACCTAGAAGTTGCGGTTTTAAAACGGTTTTGTTCTGTTTAAAACTACCCAACAGTAATCACTTATAAGAATTGATGAAACCCAAAATCATATTGATATTCAGGTCACTAAGCCCAGGACAGAGTTGGTTCGAGATCCCTAGTTGGCGAATGATGCTCTACAAAGAGTAACAGGCCTAAGTAAGTAAGCCACTAAGTTTATTGTGCATTAGCCATTGTCGATTACCTTGAGTTGGTCAGAGAATAATCCTAACACTTACTGATCCAATATATATTCCCTTCTTCTATTCAGGTGTTCAGTTCGATAATAGAACACAGAAGCACCAACAAATTAGTATACTTATTTCTATATCAAACACTAGCTTAAATACATGAATTATCGGATATCACTATACTTTACAATCATGCCATAAATAGTAGAGAGCGATGCACAAGGTTTATAATTAATTTATAATAATTAAGAAATAATAAATCGTATAACAAATGTCAATAGGTCTCCTGGAAGCTTACAATAAGGAGAGTATAGTAATGCAATAATACACTTATCTACTAACTATGTAATTTAAATACGGATAATAATAATTCATAAGTTAGTCTCAAGAGTTACAATTTCTTCGATATTTGCCATACAACAATAAAGTTAGCATCCAATGATTCATATTTTTAATTTTGTTTGATGTGCTACGTAATTGTCTCGTACCTTTATAGTTTTCAATGCTTTTTCATCTGACACTAATAGTCCATGCTCAAGAAAACCTTCATAACGTTTTTTTCACTCGATAAGAGAAAGATCAAGAAATTGATAGCAACTACTTAGTTTAGTACATTAGGCATATAACGAACAGTGGAAACCAGCGAGTGTGTTTTAACCTTTCTGAGACATGTCAGCCAAATCTACCTCCATTTCAGTCTTCATACTGTAACCTAGTGCCCAGCTCTTCACACATGAATGCGTTATTCACTAAGCTACATGGGTCTAGATACTCATTAACTTGTTCAATAGATGTGGAGATATTAGAAAGGTCTAGTGATTACCCGTTGTTAATATTCAGGACTGTAAATGATCGTGTCTTTCTAACCAAATTAATCGTTCACATATAAATTTAATTACAGATAAAAACAAGAGAAGTAAGAAAGTCAAAAAAATATTTAACCAATAAATGGAAAGGCTAACAACTACCATTTTAAATTTAGAATAAAAGAGTTGACGGCTAAGGTAAACTGAAATATTTTATTAACTTTATATATATCAACTGTGTAAAAAAACTGAGTCTTTGCGCGTATATGTTATGGACATAAATTCCAGTTTAAACTTAATACTTTAAGAATTACTCAGGGTATTTATTGAACTGTTCGTCTTAATAAAATCATTTTCATTATTTCTACTTTTGATCTAATTGCATTTAGCTATCTGGTTTGAGTTTTTAAAAATATTCTCACTTGTTGTAACTATTGTACTTTTTTCTTCTTCCACAAGTCAAAAAAAAGAGGGAAATATAAGCATTTTGATATTTTAAATTGTGGTTACTCTAATTTGTACACTTTACATCTTCGAAATACTATTTGTATGACCCAAATCCTGTTAAATGTTTACAGATATGGCAAAGCACCATAATGTCTTTATGAAATTGAGTTTTCGATGAAAAGTTGAACGAATTAATGTCGATGGTGATTACTGTAACCGAACCGGTAGACATTGAAACAGTTTTAAAACACTGACTAAAAATAGTCAGAGAATAAGTGTCAGACTTAAAAAAAATAGAGCGTGGTCATTATTGATTTACTAAATCTTCATGAAAAGTTCGTCGGAATTTCCATAAGAACTCGGCATTTAATTTACATGACAAAATAACTAACTGATTCAGTCACGGCTCCATACATTTATTTGAACCGTCATGCAAACAAAAATTCAAAAAGAGCTTCTGTGACAAATAAACTGGTGTTAATTAGTGTCAACAAATTTCATTATGCAAGTGCAGGGAACTACATCTAATTACCATACTATATCTGATGCAGAACACGTTTGGAAAGCACATTTCTAATATTAAAATAAAATCGCTCAGCATCTACATTAATAAACTATGTCTTTGAATAAAATACGACTTCACTATTTCTTTAGTGAATAACACTTTGGATAGTGAAGATGAGTGTAAACAGGATAAAATAGCTGCAGAAAATAAAATTAAATACTTCTGGTACTCACTTGATTATTATTTAAAAATACAGTTGACTGACTTCCAATATCTTTCGATCTGTTCCGTTTTTCAATAGCTTGAATAAATAGAAACAATGTAAATCGAATAGACTCAAAAATTGTACGTCAGTGTACATATACTACTTACTTTTCGTAGTTAAAGATAATTAACTGAGAATTTTCTAATGCTTCTTATTAGTTTATTCATTATTCATAAAAATAACTACCGGAAATTCAGGACCTACAGTGTCAACTTAGTCAGTAATGAAGCACAGTTAATCACCACCAACGACAATAGATTTAGTTGGTTCTACATTACAAAATTTGCATCATCGAACACCATTAACCCAGTATCGCAATTATATTGTGCAGACTGAAGTAAATAAAAGTTCTGAGTGTTTGGTTATGTGTTAGACAAGAGGGATCATGGAAGTTCAGATGTGACCCAGACTAGAGTAAGACGGTTTATCTAGTGATCCTCAGTTTTCTTAATAGCTCTCAAAATGCTATCAGTTAGTAACGTTAATCATTTTAAAAGACACTTGAGCCACATATAATAAAAATGAAATAAAGAATTACTTATCATACAATGTGTACCGAATTGGATCGTCAATAAAAACAATATCTAGTTGTGAAGATCATTTAGATAGTTTATGCGTTTTTGAATATTCATGACAGTAGTTAGTTTTCAGCACCTAAAAATGAAAGTACCAAGTCCTTTGAACTGACCAAACAGGACATTTCATCTTATCAACCCATTGTACATCCCATGTATAAGGTTGTGTAGATTCATACTCTATTTTTATTTTAAACCTTATTTTTATCGACAAATGAAGATATTTTAAAATTAAGTAATTGAGTACTTCTGATAATATTTCCCTGAACTTATAGTTAAACATTAGGTTTATTCATGTATACGAAATTATCGAAAGTTGTAGAATTTAAATAATAATACTTGTGATAAAAACAAGTGGTTACATAAACAAATTATGTTATTAAAATAAAATTAACATAATGAGGGGAATTCAGTGGATCAATAAAAACTGAGATTATATAGGATCAGGTTCCTTTACCAAATATTCATTAAATAAATTAAAAGTGGATCAATGCTTTTTTTAAAGTACCGCTAGTTAAATTTGTAGATTTTCATTTAATTGTGAAAGAAGTATTCAGAAGCAACAAATCGAAAAGGTTGTGAAAGATTTTATGAACATGTACACTGAAAGCCATACCTGAAATGAAACAATAACTTTATAAGTACATTCATCAGGCACTTTGTCGTTATTGGACTAAAGCGGATTTCATCAAGGCCTTAGAAATAATACACAAACACCAAGTATACTTTACAGGGCCCATTGTCATTAAATATTTCCAACTAGACTAGTATATACAGAAGGAAGATATGGTTAACCTGTCTTTCTCTTGATAAGGAAAATCAAACTAAATAAATTTCACCTATTACATAGACATGTTCTAGTCTTAATTACACTGAGTAACATTGTTTTCATGCTGTTTACTAACTTTTCATCTTCCCTTCGAACTTTCTCTTCAGCTTCATTAACTAGAGTTTTCCAAACTTTTACGTCTAACTACGTAGCTCGTTTCGATCGCTTTCTTTTGATGAGAGGCCATAAAAAACAAATAATTTATTTTATGACAAATTGTGCTATTCTTGCTCAAATTGAAATTTGATCACTTACATTAATGTACAAATCTCTTGGCAATTGATTTTAGAATAAAACCCTGAGTGAATGATAATTGAAATATAAAGCGACAAAGTAATAATTTCATTCAAAATTAAATGAGAATGAATTCAAAATGTTACACTGAGAAGAGATTTGTTATAAGTAGTGACTTAATAGGCTTTCCAATGACCAATTTGGACAGACATTGAACTTTTAAACAAAGTGTGTTCGGTTGTTTTATTGAAAAAACTTTACACGTGATCATAAAACCAGTTTATTGAAGCTAACAAATATCGAGTGAATTTATCGAAATTTTCTAGTTTAATTTCTATCATGCGATGATATCAGACAGTTTGTACAAACTGAATATTATTTTAAAGTGTATTTCGGTTAACTTTGAAACTTATTAATATGACAAAAATTCAGTCCTTTTTAAGATTGGACCAGCATGCTACTAAAAGCTAGAACGTGTTTGGTTACAGTTTCTCCAACAGGGTGAAAACATCTTGGCTAATGACACAATTTATAATTCAGTGGGTTTGTAACGTTATATGTCACATGACTTTAAATTTTATCGCGGACTAATTGAAGATATACTAAAACCTATGGGAAGTTTAGGTAACTTTATGCAAATTAGGGAATCCTTAGAACTCTATTCTACTGGCTGCCAAACCGATTTTAACTAAAAACCTTGAGTTATTTGAGCTATCAAAGTATAATTCGATCGCTCAGCAAAAACATAGGAAAATCCCTTTTCTAAAACTGGTAGACGAATGTCTACCGATAGCACAGAACAATACTTATATCATATTACAAGTTGATAAGTATTCGAAAAAGTGAACTTGTAGACTTTGACTCAGCGAATAAATAACATCATGGTCAATGCAAGACCCAGATGTTTCTGGTTTTATATCGTATGAAGAAGAAGAAATCCTCTGCAGAGCAGTTTTAAACTAGAGCGCCACAGTTCCCTAGTAATTTTTACTATTCAGCAATCCTTTATTTCTGTCAACCCATGGTGCAAAGCCATTTACACGAATAAGCATAGTGATGCCTTCAATAGCAGTTCGGTTGTTATTTTCATTTCCCAACTTGATAATTAAATATTATGTTTTTATTACGCAATTTTTCTTACTGAACATTAGAGTTAATAACCAATTCATTCATATGCAATTATTTTGCCGAAATAATACGAGTTTATTAGATATCAAACAAACACAACAAAATCACATACCGCACATATCTTGATCTGCAATCGATTCTGTTATTCCTGACTGACTAGTTTCTTGTTTCATTGAACAAATTGGATTAATGGTAGATTTCATAGTTGAAATAGAGTTATATTTATGAAGTTGATTATTCGATGAATAAAAATCTTCAAGTAATTGTTGTTTTTCCAATTTTAACGTCTCTATAATTTCCGTTGCATTATCTAAAGACTTTTGTGTTGAACTCAATTTCTCTCGTAGATAATTTCTCTCGTCACGTAATGATGCCCATTTTTCTCTCCAGCTAGCTGTACAATCTGACCACCATCTCATTGTTTTTTCAAGTTGAGTGGCACGTGAACGAGCCTGAAAAATTACAATTTGAGTCCCCAAATATGTTTTCATATATATATATATATATATATATATATATATATATATATATAAACTAAAATCCTGTTCACATCACATCGAAAAATTTACTACAAAGATCAACCTAGTCATTTCACTGACTTGAGCATTATGTGTATTATTTGCTAATAACAATATTAATTATTTACCTATTCATTCAATATTGTAATTGAATTAAATTTAATGATCACTATTTGAGGGATTTGTGTCGAATAAAATATCAGGATAAAAAATATTCCTCATCTATCTGCCAATCCCGATGATTGCCGTGAATGATCATTGTCAGGAAAGTAAAAAGATATTCACATTCTCTAATTTGAACACGAACTATGAATGTTGATTATCGAAACTAATAATTCATTGTGTTGTTATTAAACATTGCCATAGTAAAATCAGATACATGACTAAGCAATAATAAATTTAGCAAGGATCTCAGAAGTTTTTCTAGAATAGTTTAATATTTAGGGGTGAACAAAATGCCCTCACTATTCTTGCGTTACTCTGTATAAAATACTTTGGTTGATCAAAATACTTTATATTTTATATAGTTTCATACGGAGGGAATAAAAATTAATACTGAAAAGCGTTGATATTTTTTAATAGAACTTACCCACATATGATGTTTAAAATGAACATAATATTTAAAACGTTTTTAAGTATTAGATTATTAACTTTGATAAGTGATCCATTGTCAAAATAATGCCGGAGTACATATAAAATTTACATAGACTATTATTAAGGTTTTATGATAGAAACATTTAGTTTAACGCTTCAAACGTCTTACAAAAAACATATTCTAAATACTTACTTCTTCCAAATCCTTGTCACGTTGTCTGCATTCTGAAGTACAGGAACGTGGATGAGATCGATTATTAATACATCGAGAATGCTGATCAGCAACTCGCATCGGAATGCGTCTTTAACTACGTTCAATCGAATAACTCAGTGTAATATTATAATAATAAATCTTGTTACGGTATATGGCTGAAAAAAACAAAAAGAGATGCAATATTTTAAATTTCTTACAAACTGTTTAATGATAACATTCAATTATCTTTGGTATATTTAGACGGTGGCCAGAAATTATGTTCACCACGCAGCTTCCCTATTTAAAAATTTAGTCCTGAATATCAGTGATATCAGTAAATACGACAAATCAACGAAGACAAACACAAGTACATATAGTACTTGAAAAATAATGAAATAGTTAAATGTAACATAAAGTAAAGGAAATGAAGGAAGGAAATGATATATGTTTGAATAAAACACTTGAAAATAAAACAGAATACAGATAATTTCGTTCATACTTGCACCTACAGAAATCAATTAACTTAAAAGTTTATGAAAGTAAGATTTAACGTTCTATACATAGTGACATGCCTAGTAATTAATGCTATGTATTTAATGCAATGAGAGACGGGTTGGCTTGGAATCATATAAATATGTATACATTTTTGTGTAAACAAACTAATCGAGCTAAGTGTAAAACGTCATATTCATTCACAACGAAAAAATTGTTCTTGGTACTGCACACATTTATATGTAACCAAACCAATTAGAACTAATCAGTAAATCTCCACGAAAACTTTACTATAATTCGGAAATAAACTTCTAATCACTACAAGTAACAGCGGTATCTCTATGATCCTAACACTATATATGTCATAAACCTCATGATCTTGGAAAAATGAAGTAATTTAATTCTATTTTGATCAGTGTTGTATTCCATACCTCATATTTACTGTAATTCTTGCATATTATTTGCACTATGCTTCATTATTTTTAATGTATTTTAGAGGACTCTATAACGAAGCTAAAAGTAAAGAATTTTGTAGGTATCATTACCAAGATTTGATTTTATAATTTCGAATAAATTGAGCATTGAGTAGATTGTTATAAATAAATTAATATATTTGTAATATACCAATGAGCAGAAAATCTAATTTTTCTACTCATTGGGATATTACAAATATAATATTTATTTATGAGAGTAAAGGCGTTCATCTTCATCATATCTCATCCAAAAATTAACTTTTTGGATTTTAAGAAACGAAAGTGTTCCCTGTGATATATTTCTTTAACAACTGAATATTTTGTAAAATGTAAATATCGATGGTGATTTTATTAAATTTAAAAACAAATAAATCAACTAAACAGAAATATGAACATGAGAATAAAAAACGAAAGTTTAACATTCTAATACCTCTTAGCATCAAGTTGTTTTAACCTATAACTAAAGTGTTCAGAAAATTCTACCTTTAGTGGATAACTAAATATATGACATTGGATCTAACAACGTTTAAAATCTTAGCATTGCAAAAAACACTGCAATATTACCGAATAATTATCAACACATGACACCTTATTTCAGGGCTTACTGAACCCCAACACATCACATAATATTACACGAAATTCACTGGGATGGGTAGAATAATATTCCATCATAGTTTAAAGACATTCTTTATAGGAATTAAGAATGCCTTTTGCAGCTATATCTGCATTATATCTTTTCGATTATGAGGTCACTCAATTACAAGAATTGACATTCTATAAAGATAGTTTCTATTTACAAAACTTCTAATTAGCAACTACGTAGAAACACAAAATCTTATCCATTCCTGCTTTATATACCAGCATCATCCAATCAAAATTAACTGTAGCTAAGTGGTGAAATGTTTTATAAACTTTCAAACTTTTAAAATGTTTTCACGTTAAAAATCGCCATTGTCTTAGATGAACAGGTCAACATATTTAAAAGCTTTAAGCTAGTTCAAAATAGAAAACGTTAATTATAACTATGAAATGAAATCTTAATCCATTTACAGAGAAATTTAGACATTTTGAGTGAAAACTATCCATCGTTTATTTGTCTGTATATTCTTTTTTCTTCCTGATAAAAATTTAATTTTGGCTTCTTTAAATATCCTGAACAATACTGATGGCCTTATATAATATGCTAACAAACGTCTAGATAGACAATAAATCCCTCCACGGTTTCTATTTTTATACCAATATAAACAAATCATTTCCACTTGCATCGTTGATTTTAGAAAGGACGATAATGATTCAAACGTGGAGAGCTATCGTTTCATGAGAACTTAATAATGATCAGATCCGACAACAGTAAAGAAGAATGGTCGGAACTTTTTTCAAAATTTTGGCAAACAAAAGCTTACACTTTCACTCTGTAAATTTGTCCTGTCATGCACTTATCAACAATTGCCGTAAAACTATAATTTGCAGTACAAAGGTCATTTTATATAACGAATATAATAAAAGATATGACACTCCCAACGTAAATTGCGTGATAATATTCATGATTTGAATATACACAGAAGAGACACTTAGTATTTTGTGCATTAAAACTAAAAATCGAGTTGAAAACTGCTGTATATGAGTAACGCCTACATGCACCTTTGTATATCTCTCAACAGATAATATTCTCTGCCCAGTTATAATGATGGTTTCTTATCTTGTTGTTTTCTACACAATAAGCCTTGATAAAAATTTGTGTCAGTATGCTGTTTTACGCATATTTTAAACAACGAATTTAAATAGTCTTCCAAAGTAATCAAATAAAACATGAGTAATATGCCGGTTTAACGCTTGTGGTCTTGACCTAATTAAGATATTTAAAAATACATACTGAGGCGTAAATGTATTGAATACTCAGAAGTTCCGGCACATAGTGGTATATTTTATAAGCACACATGCTATTAAAGTGCCCTTTGTTCACAATGACCCTGGTATATACCGATTTTAGCCTTCAACTATGCGAACATGAAAATCTTAAACTTATAAGTAAGCGTAGTATTCTAGAGTTCGGCACTTGCTTTATAAAATTATCTTTATTGACTCAAAGTCTCTTGTAATTACTTTAGTATCTGTTTTATCTCAAATTTCTGTAGCAGTCTCCAATTTCTAGCAACTTCGTCGCAATTACCTATTAAATCATTTACATTCTGCATCACGTGAGATTCACAGTGTTTAAACAAATTATCACCTTCAGACAGACTTTAAATACATTTTTTAGGAAATAGATGACCAAAATAAACACAGTTTGTTAACCAAAACAACATGCTCTACTGTTAAAGAAAATATGCCGAGAATTTTATTTCTGGCAGCAGCTTGTGAAGTGAAAACATTCTTCACTAAATACAGTATTGATATCTCTGATGAATCTTTGTTTTCTGGATATGAGTTAATATTTTCCTGCAAATTGCTTTACGATCTCTCAAATACGTGCATAAGGACATTTAACTCCATTCTAAAGTAAAGCAAAACCTGAACATTTGTTTAACCCATTAAGATCATCGTACATCATTCATGTTTACTTTCTTGGTGTTTGTGAACACCAAACGTTTATTTTTACTAAATTAAGAAGCTTACCAGGCAAGCAAACACTAGTATTTATATAATGCAGTATTTAATATAACAACACCACGTGTTATGTCACACAGTGGGCTAGTTAGTCATAGCTGCCATCTGTACTTCCTCCAGTCTCTGATGAATTTTCATTATGCAGTCATCATAGTCGAGTTTGTGGATGAGATGTTGTGTCAAACAGTTACACCGGTCCATCCTAACATATGGAGGGCAGCCATGAAGACAAGTCATCGATTCTTGGAACCTGTTACCTAAAGCAGTGATGTCCTCACCTTCAATTGACTTATTTAAAAGAAGAATAGACACTCATAGAAGTATACTAAAAAAATAATAACATGGACCGTAGGCATTATGTCCTAACTACACAAATCTTAAGTAAATTATTTACATGAACTATTTGGTTTCAGATTCACTCAGTACACAGCCCTTTGATACAGGATATATAAAAACAAAAACACTAAGGACATGGTTTTCATAAAAATCACTAAATATACTTCATAAATAAGAGTAATAGAAGCGTATATTATCAATACATAATCGAAGTAAACCTATATTCGGAAACTTTTCTTTCTACTTTAATGATAACCGAGAGGCAGTCAAAATAGTATTTTGACGAAATCCAGCACTTATAAAGTGTACGCTATTGAGTCGGTTGGCGTTACATCTTCATGATTTGGGAAAATGTATTAAATACATCATTCGTTACCTTCATTTGGTTTGTAGAATATTTAGGCAAAACTCATTTCCTCTCCTCTTCAAATGATACTTCTTAAGCTTTTATCTGTTTTAAGCACACAAAAATATTGCTCTATATTTAATTCCGGCCATTGGCATACGTATGAATGCACATGCTGGCACTTTAGTAATGTTTTCGAAAATATGCTGCGATCAACCCTAAGAATATATTTATTTTCAACACATTTCAGCCCTTAGAAGCTTTTACAAAGAATATAAAGTCATTTTACGAAGTATATTTTCAATAAATAACACACCAACCCCACATCATTACGTAAAATATCCAAAATAGTACAAAACGACAAGGTGATATATTGGTCAATACAAACAAGTTGTGGGTCATATAATATATGTTAGCCTAAGTGGATTATGACAACTTGATGATCTTTGAAATATCCTCTAAAAAAAGTTTACAAACCGGAGAAGGTTCAGTGTACATCCTTGAAAATATTAGATAACGAGACAGTCTAGTTAGCTTATACGTTTAAATCAATTGCTTAGTTTCGTTCGCTTTCAAATAAGGCTAGCTTGTTTCCAGATATTGAATCAGCATAGTGTGGGGAAGTCTTCGCCCCAGAGTGGCCACTGGTATATCCTTCTCAGTGCCCTGTTTCATCACAATTTTTCCTAATATTAAACGCTCACGTGTTTTTCAGTGCCGTGTGAGCCAATTTTGTACAAAAATTTTCGTTATCAGCTTGAGATGACCGCACAAGTAGCGAAATTTTTTTGAATTTTCCAATTGTAGACCACTAATATTGGTAATGAACGCACATGGGTAAAACGGGAAATATGCGACATCCTGCTCTTACATTGAACATGCATATCGTAGTTTGTGCCTAGTTTGGATTCCTCCGTAATGGTATATATGTAATCTGAATATTTGAGTGGCTGCAAAAAAACGGATGTAACTTCACCAGAATTATGAAGTAGCTTATTAGGGAGTACATACAAGAGATGTGCACAGCAACATAGGCCGTCCACCAACATTCTCTATCCAACTCTGTACTTGACAATACTTTCCAGTTGCTATTCATTCTTGTCATGTTTGCCACCAGTTCTCAAAGCAGTGTGTTCGCGGCCTTCCTCTTTTGCATCTCCCTTCAGAATTCCAACGTTGAGGCTTACCTCGCGGTGCAGTTTGGTGATTTCCCTAACATTCAACTAAACCTCTCATGTAGGTAATTTAAACCCTTAACGTAATCATGATTTTGAATATCACAGGTTGTAAAAAATGACGAGAGTCTACGCAATAAAATGAATTCATGCTATTCTGCAGAAATCTTTGTTCTTGTTCTTTTCAAAATGATAAAAGGAACTATGTGTATGAGATTTTCGTAATGTATGTCCTATCCACTTCCACAGTCTTTTCCTTATTTCCTCTTCAGTTGAAACCTGACTCGTCCTCTCCCACAGTAGGCAGGTGCCAACGGTATCCGGTCAACAGACGTTGAGTATCTTGTGTAGACAACTAGCTATAAATGCTCGAATATTTTCGATGATGGTTGTGGTAGTTCTTCGCGTTCAAGCTCCGTACAGTAGAACTTCTTTGACGTTCGTGTTGGATATTTTCACTTTGATATTGGTTGACAGTTTATTTCGAGTTCAATATGTTCTTCAAATGTAAGATAACAGGCTTTGCTTTGCCAATCTTTGCCTTTACATGTGCATCGGATCTTTCTTGTTAATCGATCTTGCCATGAAGGTTTCAGCCTCTTCTAGAGTTTCCCCATAAAAAATGACTCAGTTTGTGTCCTCTATGCTGTATTTGAGGATCATACTTTTTTCCTTGCATATAATAAGCGCTACTGCTGCACTAGTATTCTTCATCTGCATTTGTTCTTGTGTATGGGATAGAAAGTTCAGGTCATCTGCGAAGTCCAAATCTTCTAACTGACTCCGAGCTGTCCAATGTATTCCTTGCTTCCTCTGAGATGTGAAGGTCTTCATAATCCAGTCAACCACCAAAAGATTGAGAGAGAGTAAGCATCCTTGTCTGACTCCGGTCCTTACTTGGAACGCGTCTGTCAGCTGTTCTCCATGCACGACTTGGCAGTGTAGCCCGTCGTATGAGTTCCAGATAATGATGACGATCTTCTGAGATACACCATAGTGTCGAAGAAGTTTCCATAATGTTCTGCTATCCACATTGTCAAACGCTTTCTCATGGTCAAGGAAGTTGATGTGTAATGACAAGTTCCTTTTTTTTAATTCACCTCTCGGTGATTATCCATAGTGTCGTAACTTGGTCTGCACATGCTCTATCCTTATGGAATCCAGCCTGTTGGTCTAGAAGATAGACGTTTACCGAATCTTCCACCCGGTTCAACAACACTGTTGAAAGCGTTCCTAGTACTGATAGCAGTGTAGTGCAACTTTATTTCTCACACACTCTGAGATCTCCTTTCTTTGGTATCATCATTACAATCTGTCGGTGGCACTTCTTCCTTCCAAATCTTTCTGAACAGAACGCAGAGCATGTTTACAATTTTCTCCGTTCATGACTTCAGTGCTTCAGCTGGTATATTGTCAGGTCCTATTGATTTCCCACACTTGATTTCTCTGGTAGCCATCCTGATTTCCTCGACCGTTGGTAGAATGATATCTATAGAAAGGCCTGTAGGTGCTGTCTCGATATCCAGTGAATTCAACAGGTCTGACCTGTCCAAGAATTCCCATCTGTTCCTCTGTTTATGAGTCTCAATGACTGTCTTGCTCTCTTTGTCTTTGACTAGTCTCTGTGGTTTACCATATTTCCCTATCAGTTTCTTCGCTGTGTCATATCGTTGTTAGATATTTCCTTCTCTGGCAGCTTTTTCCGCTGTCATTGCTAGATCTTCCACGTATTTCGGATTGTCGGCTTTAGTGCTCTCCTCCAATTTCTTGCTTGCATCTCTGTATTCAGTTTGTGCCTTGACTTCATCTGTTCTTTTTCGACCAATCTTAATTGTTGTCTTCTTGTTCTTCTTTTCTAGACTGTTGTCTAGGGGTTTCTATAGAGATCCATTTCTTATGATGATGCTTCCTGCTGCCAAGAACCTCTTGACTTGTTGAAGTCGGTGCTCCTTTGATCCCTTTATCAGTTGTTCTCCATACTATTTTCATCTTCTTTCAGCAGATCTTGCAAGGCGCACAACCTGTTGCTGAGAATTATCTCGAATTAGTTGAGTTTGGCAGTATGTCGACGTATGGCTGTATTGAACCTTGATAATGCTATTTTTCCAGTGTTTCAGTGCTTCTTAGGCTTCAGATTCATCTGGGCAACCACCAGTTAGTGTTGATCTGACTATGTCGGCTCCTCTCTTAGTTACCACGTCTTCCATTGATCTTCTGAATTTTTTAAAGATAAAGAAATGATCAGTCTTGTTCGTTATAGAGTGATACGGCTAGACCCGTGTAGCTTTGTGTGTGTGTTTGTAGGGAAATATAATCTCATATATAATCATTTCATTGGATGCACAAAAAGTTGTAAATCTGTCGCCATCCTCATTCCTTTCTGCTGGTTGTCTCTTGATATTTTCATACCCGATGTTGTCCATTTCGACTTTAGCGTTTAAAACTCCCATTGGGATTGTCAGATCTTTTTTTATGCACTTCGCTAGGATTGATTGCAGCCTTCGTAAAACTGATCTTTACCGTCGTCATTGATACCATTGGTGAGTGGATGACACTGGATAACATTCAATGTGCTTTCCTCGTTTTTTTATTTTGAAGGGTGATTTGATGATCCTCAATCCGTGAGATTCTCATCCTATAAGGGTATATCGTGCTTCTCTGAATAGCAACTCCCTGAGTGCGTGGAGCATTTTCCTCTTCGTGACCGGAGTATAGCAGCATCTATTAAGTACCTAACCTGTGCTGTTCACCCTAATTCCAGTAAATTTCGCTGATTCCGATTGCTGCTAATTTGTATCCTTCGTTTTCGTTGTTGTTTGACTGGTCTTCTCGGTCTCCCACATTGTCCGGACATTCCATGTACCTATAAAAATCGTAGCTCTGGTTGTTAGAACGGACATCAACCCCGTGAATTCCGAAGAATGTTGTCTTTCATCATAAGGCGTCATGATTCTTGTGAGTGAAAATCCTTCAACTCAAAGATCAAAGTTTAAATGGTTTAATTTGTTTATTCTGATTAGCGTTTTTAGGAAGGTTGCTTTGTATAAAATATGGTTGTCGACACCAATCTCAACTCTCTTCTTTTATCCGAACTTGGAACTGGCAGTAAACTTAGAGTCGCTACAGGTGGAGTTAGACGTCACAAATATCAAGCAAAAATTATAGACATGAGCAAAAAGCAAGAAATCAACTGATTAACTGAACAACATCCTGTTTATTTGAACAGTGGCTAATAACTCGGAGATCCCGGGTTATGTAGTTAACCGTCCAATCACATAAGGTCGTTTGGATAAGCATAATGAGGAAACTCATGCGCTTCAAAGTGAATGCATAAATTTCTTATATGAGAACGCTGTGAGTTCGCCGAAAATGTGGATGACATAAGCGAACTCAGCAATGCTAACAATACTCATACGATTGGAATTTGTGAATCATGAAAGTCTTCTCAAAATAGGGACCAGGAGCTAACAGTACACTGCACAACTTTGTTTCGCAACAACAGAAGAATAAGAATGGGAGGCAGAGTAACCCTTTACCTGTGATCATACATGGTGGCACATCCGGTGTACATACAGGAATTTATCAATCATGATGAATCTGTGCGATGCTAAGTAAAACTGTTCAACACCTTGAGGTGTCTAGTTACAGTTAGCTGCAGAAAGTCCATTGCGGAGTTGAAAAATCGTATGCTGGGAAGATTATCCGCTCTGCTCACCTTTATTACGCTTACATCCTCATTCTATGAGACTTCAACCTGTCAAAAGTCAAGCTTTCTGAACATACTTACATTAGAAATAACAACTCTACTGAAACTCGGTTCGTCAACCTCATTGAAAATATAGGATTATTCAAAAATGTCAGGCTAGTAACTTATCAGAAAAATAGTCAGGCGCAGTCGGGCCTAGACTGTGTTTCTACAGACGATCTCAATCTTGGCTTCCTCGAGTGAAAGTGATCATGCCATCATAGCCTTCAGTCTTATCTGTAAAACTGAGCTAAGTCATCCTACCTACAACAATTGTTTAAATTTCAAACGGGAATCTCAGAAGTGGACATGAGTGCTGATTTATCATATTGGAAGCTGGGGCATCCAAACAAAGACATTTCTCCTGGTCCAGATATGGTCCGTTCTTCCATAAGGAGGTAAGCGGCTTCAATCTTGTGAGAACCGCTTAGCGTGATGTTCACACATTCGCAAAACCTATGCACGGTACCATAAAATTGGGAGCTGGCTCACATTACACTAACTTTTAAAGGAAGCCGACGCAGCGTGCCTTCAAGCTAAAGGCTTGTAGCATTGCTCTCAATACCTTCGAAAAATATAGAACCTATAGTATGCGAAGGGCTACGCGACTACTTACTATCCATAAACTTCCTTTCATCCCGACAACACGGTTTCGGGAAAAGCCGCTCTTGCATAAACAACTTGTGGACTGCGGTAGATAGGTGGACAAACAGACTTGGTCGCAAGCGAAGGTTTGACATCATATACATTAACAGAACTACACAATGCAGTACAACAGACTATATACCCACCTTCTATTCTTTAAGAGTAGCCAAATCCTGAGATTTGTCACCGGCTGAGTTAATCTAAGCGACTTCCTGGGGGTTCCTAAGGAGGAAACTTGACATATTCTTAAGGACTAAGGACAGTATCTCGCTTACATTTACTAATTTTATTTTCTTGAAGATGACACAGGTATTCGGAGTTTTACAACGCTTTAAGCAGTAACACCTTCTAATATGATGCGTGCCCACCAAGTGAAATCAAAAGACAGAAGTGAGGAGGTAAGAAGATATATTTGATAGACTATCAATATATTGAGGATCAACTGATGTAATCTGGCTAGCGATTGCAGCAGATGTTGAGCACGGTGTTCCCACACGTGAGCTGGTGCGGATGCATGACCGAGCGCCTTCAGCTAGATGAGTCCATTAAAACTAATGTGATCAGAATCCAATGTCGAAAACTTGCAGAGCTGTTTATTTTAGGGATTTATTTACCGCTACATTCTCTTACAAACTTACCTACGTTCTTACCTGGAAGCGTTGATGAAACATTACTGCTAGATACGGGGACATGTTTTTTTTATTTAGTCCATTTGAGACTGTATGAAGCTTGTTGTGAAGATATTGGATATTGAAACCAGTGCTCATCAAGATTAGGTGCGTAGTTTCATACCTTACGTTACCGTGTTTTTAAGACCATAGATCCAACGGCAGTAACCCTTGTTGATGTGTCGGAGTTCATTTTTAGATATAATCACACAAAATTCGTACGGCATATGTGCCTTATTTTAGAGCCACGAGCCTAATTTTTATAACAGAGTGGTCCATAAACATAGGAACTCCTCATTTTTAGCTTTTCAAACTGTGTATCTAAAGAGAAATTTATACTACTTATTTGTCTCCTCGTGTAATGCAGTCGACACATACAGATTTTAACCTTTTTTGTCTGCTTTACCAGCGAAAGAGTTGTTAGGTGACGTGAGTGTAAGAAATTGTTCAGATCGTCGAAAATAACATTGTGTGTTAAATGTTGGCTCTTTGTGTATATAACCTGATATTGAGATAATATTCTGTGGTGCATTTTCAGTTGAAATTGATCGTACGACACCGGCAGCATATTCCACGAAATATTAATGTATGGAATTTGTTGTAGTAAATCACATTATGTACATTTCCATGAATGAAGTAACCTAAATTTTAAGTATCAGACCGTTCTAAATGCCAAGTTACTGGAAGTATATAGTGGTGACTTAAAAATTTTGGTCCGTGAGTTTGTTCTACTTGTTTTTTCTCTCCCTCAGCGGTCATATATATGTGGTTTGTCCTGTCCATATATTAGAAAAAGTTTAATATCCATCCAATGTCTATATCCACAAAATAGGGATATATTATATTAAACGGCAGTAAAAATAATCCGTTTTGCGTAGAATAATTCTATATTGTTGAAGATTACTGCATAATGTCTGCACTTCTGACCTGTTCCCCAAAGAGTAGGCTTGCCTGCTAGTTATGGTATCTCCGTAAAAGGCACCACATATGCTACAGATTTTTGTGCTTCTTCGTCCACCAACAGTCATTTAGATTAATGATCAGTGTTAATAATTTACAATCTTACCGATTCCAAGCCTGGCTCTCCAAAATACATATATATCAGTATCGTAAATCGTTATGTAAAAGTGTTACAGTCAGTCAGTCAGTAACAACGTGGAACTTCGTACCTACGTAAATCAGTTCGAGTTGCCATACCACATTAGCACAGAGATTCAGTTATCGTCTCAAATCCCGTAGTGGTAGAGGTAGTGAAAGGGAACATTAGGGTTTGATGATGTTATTTAAGGAGTATAATCCAGTGAAATAGATATGGAAAGAAAATAAATGACATGAAGAATTCAGAAGATTCGAGTTTGAGAGAACACAAAGAGTGGATGCACCTGCGCCATTGCAAACGATTTTGAGCCATGTCATTCAAGGTCTCTAACCATCGGTTGCTATCATCTCGCGGATTCCAACCAGGTAGTCTACACCTACCAACATGACTCAGTCCGCTTGTCAGTGACTTCATGGATTTCTGCCATGTTTTGGTCTGGCCGCCCCTAGCTTTCTTCCAACCTATTCCTACACCATAAAACATCGCAAGTCGGGGCAGTCGCTGGTCGGGCATGCTCAACACATGTCCCAGCCACCTCAACTGATTAAGTTTCACTACTTCATCAATTGATTTGCCATCCTTACCTAGTACCCGTTTACTAACAACTGAGTTGCTTACTTGGTGTTACTGGCAATAACAGCTTTTCATATCAGTTGTATGTAAATGGTGAATGTAGTTATTTCTATTGACTGTGTCGCATTTATTATAAACACTCGTTTATGGGACCAGATCCCCACATATCTAATCATATTTACAAACCCTTTTGATAACTACTGACTACGCCTTTGTTCCATTAATTTCTTTTCTCCAAATAAAACGTTAATAAAAATTGTGTATGTAGGTAAAGAAAACAGGATGTATGTACAAGATTCTCAAATAACTAAACACTTACACTGTGTACGATGAGGTATTTTTAGAAAATGGTAAATATTTTCTAACCGCTTGTTGATAATCAATTGAGGGGAACTCCTAATTAATCGTGCCATCTGCCCATTATATGTAGATCTCTTGTCTTTAACTAGCAAGTCAGGTGGCTCTAAAATGAAGAATATGTCGTTCAGTAGTATTCACTATTTTCGGATCATCTCTGAAGAGTCAGTAATACTGTTATATAACACCTACTTTATTTTATTTTAGATTCTAACGGTCCTGTCTTATACGATAAAAAATGTTTCTAAAACCATTCTCCGTGAGATCTAATTCTCAAATTAAGTCTTGTGAAAAGTCAGAGCTTTATTTATTTTTGTACTTACTTTTTATTTATAGGAAGCAACTTCTAAACTCATTCTATGATGAGTACGGATTAGATCCTACAAATATTTTGGAAATCTTTAAAACAAAAGATGTTCACCGTTTAAAAGTCATAACTTCGTCAGAAATAAAAGTGAATATCTACAAATTTGGAAATATTCCTTTAATTATTGAAAATGAAAAAGAACGTCTCCCCACAGGTAGTTTTTCATCTATAACTCATATTAGATAAGTTTACCTTCTATGGCATTTGCCGAACCTCCTCCCACATTTCAAAGTACATGAGAACTTAGTTTCCGTTCTAATGAAAGGGGCTGGTAAATACAGTTTTTTTTGGATTTCAACATTTTATAGACCTTATGCTTCCTGGAGTAGTAACTGATGGTCCAATTCTTCCTTATACATTTAATAAGATAGAGAAGGGTGTTCTTTGTTGTATCAGCACAACTTCCAACTGGTAGTTTTATATATTTTATATATTTAATGTAATATAGCGCACCAATAGCTGTCGGGCACACAGCTATGTCAAACTATGATATGTACATGAGTGCCGGTAAGGGGAAAGCTGTATCCGTGTTTCATGTTATTGGCGATCATGTGTGGTACGTTTCAAAGTGTGATTTCAATTTCTCATGAGTATGTTGTACATTTTGTTTGATTTATAGATCTGTTGTGTGCTATTTTCTATTTGTACACGTTTAGTTCTCTGGTGTCATCATTCAACCGTCCCATTCTCCCATGGCCTATTGTCGATGAGAGTTCTCCTAAAACAAATGAACAAGAAATAGACAATGTCGATAATGAGTCTAAATCCTCAGTAAATATATTGTCTCAACAAATATCGGATGATAAAAATATCAGCGAAGAATTGAATGACCTTCATTTGGAAGAAGCTGTTGGTTAGTTACAGTATTCATTTGCTAGATGATCAGTGTATTCATTTATTATATTGCTATTACAATTACTTAATACTCTTCTATATTTCAACAGTAAAAAGCGATGTCGTAGAAATTGTTAAACAGTTATCCTCTTGCATAGAAAATGTTTTATAACCAGAAATCCGAAGCTTTGTAGTATTTGTCTTATTTTCGGATTCGTTTGACAGCTGATTTTCTAAAATTGTTTGTTTGTTTCACAAATGTCAGTCAGTCATCATTGATGTAGAACCTGCGACAAGTGTGCATCCATTTGAATTGTCCCATTCCAAAGAACGGTAAGAGGAGAAAACAACAAAAGTGGAGTTAATGTGAACAAATGTAACAAATTACTACACTACACAAGCTGGTGGATACGAAGGGTTCACCTACGACAACTGGAAAACCCTAATACCGAACCAATAGTGCACATGGGCTCCATGCTCCCGAGGGAACAAATGGCTACCATGGGACTGCATTTCCTAATGTTGCTCCACTGCCTTGTAGATTGGACGTCTGGGTAGAAGGTTCTGGGACTGACCACATAAGAAGACCACCTGCTTCGGCTTGAGCACACGGGCAGTATTCTAGCCAACAAATAAACTAAATGATCAATGCAACTCGAAAAATTATTCATGCTCTAATTCTCATTCTCTCAAAACTAATCGTTAACATCCGTTCTTATTATAGATTGCGTTACTTGTCTATTCCTTTATGCTTCAACTCATACAGCAGTTCACTTAAGGTGGAAACCTTGTTCTATCTAAACGATCTCAAGTAACTGACTGGTCGACAGTTGAGTGCTACCACCGACATTAGAGGTAATTGTCGCTTCATTAGATTTGTGTGAGGGCTGTGATACTGCCCGGGTGCCCAAACTGAAGCAGATGGTTTTCTTAGGGAGCCACACCTGGAGCCTTCGACCCAAAGGTCTGATCCACAAGGCAGTGGAGCGACGTAAGGATATGCATTTCCATGGCAGCCGATGACCAACGATTGGTTCATGCACCATTTGTTCCTCTCAGGATACTGGAGCCCATGTGCACCATTGGTTTGGAATCAGGCTTTCCCAACTCCCCTCGGTGTTCACTGACCCGATTAAAGCACAGGACATTCGCTTTTCGTCCTACCGATTTCGTAAACAACACTCATGCCACGAGAAGGCAGTGAGTAGGACTTCCCTGGCATTAGCTGTATACGCGTGGCCATTTGAGAGTATTTCGAGAGGAAGAGTGGCCTCTCCCCACTCTCGGCCGTACCAGGGCATTTAGGGGCCCAATGTGTGGCGCATAAGTATCTGATGCCCCATTGTACCAATGTTTATGTGTCCAAATAAAATAAAAATAAAGGATACCACCGACTGTGAATACTGAACCAGTCTTTCTGAAACCACGTATGCCATTCAAACTGGCTTATTCCAACGTCCACACACTAATGCAGATCGGACAACAGATAGGGTTGGCTATGTCTTTGGAAAATCTTAATATCGATGTCTATTGTCTATCTCAGATCCATTTTCAAGACTCTAGTGAAATATTACAAATTCGTTCTCCATCTCCCGCTTCGCAAAGCATATTTCGTGTGTGTTTATCCGTGGACCCTGTGAGATTGTCTGGTTTTGCTGGCGTTAATGTCACATTAAGCGCCAGAGCTTACTTACTTACTTACTTTCGCCTGTTACTCCTCGTAAAGGAGCATAGGCCGCTTACCAGCATTCTCCATCCAACCCTGTCCTGGGCAATCCTTTCCAGCTCTTTCCAGTTCTTATTCATCCCTTTCATATCCGCTTATATTTCCCGACGTAATGTGTTCTTTGGCCTTCCTCTTTTCCTCTTCCCTTCAGGATTCCAAGTTAGCGCTTGTCTCGTAATGCAGTTTGATGATTTCCTCAATGTATGTCCTATCCATTTCCATCGTCTTTTCCTAATTTCCTCTTCCTCTGGAAGCTGGTTGGTTCTCTCCCACAAAAGGCTGTTGCTGATGGTATCCGGCCAATGTTGGATGTTGAGTATCTTGCTTAGACAGCTATTGATAAATACTTGTACCTTCTTGATGGTGGTTGTTGTAGTTCTCCAAGTTTCAGCTCCGTACAGTAGAACTGCCTTGACGTTCGTATTAAAGATTCTGACTTTGATATTGGTTGAAAGTTGTTTTGAGTTCCATATGTTCTTTAATTGAAAGAATGCTGTCCTTGCTTTGTCAATCCTCGCCTTTACGTCTGCATCTGAACCTCCCTGTTTATCAACGACGCTTCCCAGGTATGTGGAGGATTCCACATCTTCCAGATTTTCGCTATCAAGAGTGATTGGATTGCTGTTCTTCGTGTTGTGTTTGAGGACCTTGGTTTTCCCCTTGTGTATGTTGAGGCCTACTGATGCAGAGACTGCTGCTACACTGGCTGTCTTTGTCTGCATTTGTTCGTGTGTATGTGATAGGAGGGCTAGGTCATCTGCGAAGTCCAAGTCGTCTAATTGGTTCTGAGCTGTCCATTGTATGCCATGTTTTCCCTCAGATGTCGAAGTCTTCATAATTCAGTCGACCACCAGAAGAAAGAGGAAGGGAGAGAGTAGACAGCTTTGTCTGACTCCGGTCCTCACTTGGAATGCATCTGTCAGCTGTCCTCCATGCACTGCTTTGCACTGTAGTCCGTCGAATGAGTTTCGGATAATGTTGACAATCTTCTCAGGAACTCCATAGTGTCGAAGAATTTTCCATAACGTTCTCCTATCTACACTGTCAAACGCCTTTTCATAACCAATGAAGTTGATGTATAGTGACGAGTTCCACTCAAATGATTGTTAGACGATGATCCATAGTGTCGCAATTCGGTCTGTGCATGACCGATCCTTACGGAATCCAGCTTTTTGATCTCGAAGTTGGGCATCTACTGCGTCTTTCATTCGGTTCAGCAACACTCTGTTAAAGACTTTCCCTAGTACTGACAGTAATGTGATGCGTCTGTAATTTTCACACTTGCTCAGGCCTCCTTTCTTTGGAATCTTGATGAGGTGTACTTAGGCAACATTAATCTACTGCAGGCAGCTTAAACGTAGGCTGATAAAAAACCTACACAATGATCGTGAGCAGTGGTGAATAGCGAAAGCAGGAAAGATGAAAAAACAGCAACGATAGCTAAAAGTAGACAAGTGTTCAGACCTATCAAGGAAACGGGTATTAAAAATCCGGCTGTTAGTGTAACTACCTTGGAAAAAGATCCACTCTCAGTCCTGGAGATTGGACCGATGGGCACAACACTTTAAGGAACAGTTCAACTGTCCTTCATCCACACTTCAGGTACCTATTATCTCCAAGCAACCTGAATTGCCCACTGATGTAGATTCTCCAAATCTTAGTGAGGTTGAAAAGGTTATCAGCACTCTAAAGCAAAGGAAAGCAGCAGGGCCTGATAGACTAATCCCTGAGATTTTTAAGGATGGTGGTCCAGTTTTGGCAGTTAGACTAACTGAAATCTTATCTACAATCTGAGAACTGGACGTAGTCCCATCTGACTGGTCTTGATCGCTGGTCGTCCCAGTTTATGAAAAAGGACAAAGAAGTACACTAACCTTGTACACACTCTCAGCTGGGACATTGCTGGTCGAGTCAGAGCTCGCGGCGAACTATCGTCTGAATAGGTTACCTAAAGTTTTGTTCGTCGGAGTTGTCCGCTTTCCCCATTTTCATTTAACTTTGACATGTTCATGCTTTTAGATATAATCTACCAGGAGATTCACTTGTTGACTTAGAATACGCAGGTGATATATTTGTGTTTGGTGAAGACGCTGATGAAATGCAGACTACTTTGAGCAACAGTGCAAGCATATTTGGGATGTGCTTATATCATTTCAAATGCAGAATGTTGCTTCAGGGCTGGCTTCCGTCATCTCCTGAATTAATCATAGAAAGTGAAGTAGTTGGACGCATCGACCGCTTCACTTATTTCCGGAGTTTCATCAGTCCTAATGGTCAGGTGTCTGACACAACCTCGGCACGGATTCAGGACTCTTGATTGACTCCGGCCAACTAGCGTCATTTGCGGAGTAGGCGAGATACCCGTCTACCAACCGAAGACCGAGTTCTTCACATGGATAAAGTGCGGTCAAACGGATGGTCACACTGTGATCCTATCTGTACGGTTTCGGAGATGTAATATACGTAAATTACTGGAGAGGCTTGTTGTCTTATTCAATATAAAGTACGAACATTGATAGCTCCAGGATGCAGTTCACAGCATAATTTGAGACCATTTCGTAAAATCGAATTGTTAGCACTGATGATTAAGTCGTACTAATACGTGATGAATGACTTTGATCATGAACAAAAGGGTTTTGTGGACAGTTGTCTCTCCTCGGTTGACTGCACTGTGATGAGGAATTTCATGAGTTATCTGCAAAGAAAACCCGAATAATAGTAGTGTTTGCGAATTCGGAACGTGATCCCAGTGCCTAAGGGAAAACTGTTCGGGGTTGGTTGTATACGGTTTTTAGTGATAACTTTAGATGTGCTAAATCCGTACGTACAAGCTCTAGCGCGGGCGACGAAAATCCTTAATGTCATGTGTGTTATTTTAGGGCTGGTCCTTTGTATTTTCTTTCCGTTATAAGGCAGCATAGTTTGTTGTACAACTTCACCCTCAGCCAACTAGCGTCATTTGTGGGGTAGGCGAGATATCCGTCTACCAACCAAAGACCGAGTTTACTGCACAGCAGTTCTCTCCGTTCAACTTCATGGACGTGAAACATGACCATTAGGAATAGGGATGGGCTGTCGATTGATGAGGTAATAAATATTCACCAACTGATGTGGTTGGGACATGTATTGTGTAAGCTCAACCACCGCCTACTTCGACGGATAATGTTTTCTGGTGTGGGAGTAGGCTGGAAGAGAGCTAAGGGCGGCCAAACCAAAACATGGCATCAGTCCATGAAGTCACTGATAATCGGACTTAGTCATATTAATTGGTATGGACTAGCTGGTTGGGGTCCATGTGATTACCTTCACCATTGGTTAGAGACTTCGAATGACATGGCTCAAAATCGTTTGCAATGGCTCAGATGCATCCGTTCTTTGCCTTGCCCCAAATTCCGAGGTTCTAAATTCCTCAAAATCTCTTTATTTGACTAATTTATGTTTTCTTCTCGAATTGTATCCTCAATGCATAGTCTTTCCCATTAACACCGATACTGTTATTACCTCTACTATTATGGGGTTTGGTTTGACAACTTCATCTCTCTGTGCTAATGGAGTAGGGCAACTTGAACCGATGTACCTACATACCAGGTTCTACGTTGTGGCTGATTGACTGAAACTTGGCCTCTTCGAGTTGAAGATGCTAAACGACTCTGTGTTTGACCATCGTTGTCTCCAAAGGAATGCCGACATCCATTGGCAACACCATGATAGTAATGCAGAAGTTCGGCAATGTGAGCTAGGACACAGCGACGATAATTCGGTTGGAGTCACCATCTCGAAACACCGACTTTGGTGGCTTGGACATTTCCTGCTAATGTCGTCTCAACGAACTTCGCATTGTGCATCATTTGCCGACTCGGGGACTGGTTAGAAAAAGCGGTGAGGTCAGTGCATGACATAATGTCGTGCTATAAAAAAATGCTGTACAAGACAGGCTTCTGTCGGTTCTTGTTGACTCCCTGGTTGTGGTCCTAGAGATGGAGCAACACAATGGCTTGAGACGTTATCAGAAGTGGTTTAGAATAGAAGCCTGTAGTGATCTTGCTGCAACTTTCTTTTACTTCATGAAAATGGGAGTAACTTCTTTGACTGAAATAGTTCTTTCTGATTGTATTTTTCCTAACTGAACTGCTTCTCCCATCATTATTATTTCAGTTTTATACATTAATTTCTGTTCATTGTTGTTCTTCCTTTTTACTATATTCGTTTTCCTTCCTCTATTTCTTCACAACCTCATTTTCATTGTGTCGCACATATATATTTGGTGCCTCCTTGCACCAATATTTATATTTTCAAATAAATATATAATACACAAGCTGTCTAACTTTGCAATCGTCTCAGTAAAAAAGGAAAGGATTTAACTATGTCATAGCTGATACATTGATTTTTCACGTTCATTGATTGGTTTAATAATTTCGTATATGCATATAAATATTACTGTATATTAGAGTAAAGCCTTATAAGGATCTAATCGAAAACCATATTGTTCGCTTATATATGTTGTTCTAAATTTAAAATATGGGGATTTTTCAAATTTTAACGTTCAGTTGACTGAATGGATGTGTAATCAGTCAGTAATTTAATTTATACAATTAATATTACCAAAATTTAAAATAATTCATAATAAAGACAGTCACTTTACTCTAATTTTAAGGATTATTGTACATGATCTCTAGCCATTGATTTCACTTGTGTTGCTTGTTCTAACGCGAAAGCCCACAGGTCAATAACAATCAATTCTTCACATATTTTAGCTTAACAGACTGATTAGTCATGTGCAACATTAACTATCTTAGCAGTTGCAAATTCATAAAACGATACATCAAATTGCCCTTTGTAGCTTTTATCCTCCACCTAAGTGTGACAATTGTACTTTTTTGGTTTTATTAATCGTTGCCTGGCTATTCAGATGACTATTAGCCTTCAATTTCTATCTTCAACTTTCTCTTACCACAGCGAAAATTAACTAATTCCATTCATGTCTAGATTTTATGCATTCCTGTTTTCTTTTTGCAGAGTTACAACCATTATTTGATCTTGATAAAATTCTACGGGAGTGTTTTTTGAAAGGTCTTAAGTTGATCAAAGCAAATCAACTTCCAATACAAGTGAATATTTTCTATTCTCAATATGTTTTGGTGCACAAGTAAGTTCCTCTTTTGTAAATATTAATATATTGGTGATTTCTTTTCTTTAAAAAGTAATGAACGCTTACGACTATGATGACTGTTTGTTTGCTGTAGAGATCTAAAGGGCATTTTCAGTGTGATTTGGTTAGAATCACAATTTTCTACCTGTATGTGACCCAGCTCACCTTTAAGCTATATTTTTGAATGATGACCAGTAGCACTACTCGATTGCTCGAAACGATATAAGTGGAGCACAATGTATGCAAATCAGAGCTATGCACATAGATTCAGATTTTATTTGCAAATACTGTATAAAGCAAAGTATTTGGCTTTAAGGTAGTAGGTAAGTTGCAAGTCTGTATCAAACGAACAAGCATTAGAAGGAATAAAATATTGAACTGATGTTACATCGTCTCTCAACATTCACTCACTGCATACATTCGTTACTCTTCTTGAAGTAGGACTCAATAACATTGACTCACTCGGTGTTCAACACCCTGTCCTACACTGATAAATGTTCTCCCTATGATCAGTACTCACAATACCTATCAAAAGGGATTAACTGTCTAGTATTTCACAAAAGTTAAAAAGTTTTGTTTCTGACCTTTTAATTAAGCATTGATACATAATACCGATAAATATTAGACTAGGAAACTCCTCATTTGTTAGCTTTCTGCTAACATCATGTAATAAAAATACATTTTAGTAAACATATAAATATATAAACCAAAACCGTACAATTTTCAGTATTTTCTTCCCCTGAATCAAACATCTATTCTACTCATAGTTGATTAAATTCCTTTTTAATTATGAGAATTATGGTATAGCTTTTCATAGTTTACTATTCATTTATTATCATTACAGATCTCCATCAGTGGATCTAGATATCAAGAAAACAAAATTTAAAAAGGTGAATCTTTGTTTGTGTTACAGCTTAATAATTCATTAAAGTTATAGTAACCATATGTTAAATTTATAAAATATCTCTAGTAAATATATCTTTTAATAAGAATGATATGAACAGTAATTCTTTTTTATGAACCGAATACTAAATATTCGAAAATGGCGTATTATTTCCGGAGTTACATTTGTCTTGTAACAGCTGATTTTATACCACTGCTGTTATTACTGCTACGTTGTTTCCGTTGATCAGCGTCCAAACCTATCACTACTTGTTAGCAACTACTTAAATAGTGCAAAAGTTGGGAAAAAAATACTGAACAGGAATAGTAAAATGAAGCGAGCTTCCTGTATCTATGTTCAGATATCCACAGTTATCACAATTGATTAAACTTTCTAAGTAATTAAAGTATTTGATACAACCACTTCCCTCTCCTTGGCCAGTTTAGACATCCATAAAAACCTGTCATAATAAATTTAGCATTTAAAAGTACCAAAAGAAATACTTTTAACTATCCCTCAGGACATTCAAAAGCACTCTCATAAACTAGTGAAGTAGGTTATTTTTAATGTAACTATAGTATTCACTTTGGGATTGTAACCGGAGTATAATCAAATGACTTAGTTAAATCGTAGAATTGTAGGGTTTTTTCAGTAGGTACAATACATGACTTAAAATCGTTTCGTAATGGACATCTATTCACTTCTTCAAAATCTTAAACGTCTTGTTGTATAACGTTTTAACTATTATATTTATGATTATTTTACTAATGTACACTTCATCAACATTTATTATTGCATGGCTCACTATTTCATCTACCTGTAAACTTCTGGTAGGGGTAAGAATATAATCGATTATTCATATTCTAATTAGGATGAATCTACTTCATTTTCTGTTTTTGTTAATCTAGGTTGGCCTATTTTTGAAAGCTATGCAAGATGAAGGTTTCATCGAGGTGACTGAACCGAAATCTGGTGTATTGATGTTAAATCATATTAATAAAGATCACATTGAGTAAGTATTAAAATTTTTTAGTGTTTCTTCAGTCGATATGTTTTTTCTGACAAAGTGAATCATTGAATCAGTTTTTGCAAGGTCACTTCAAATGTATGTTATGAAATGCTAAATAATCTATTACGTTTAGCTTACAATCAGAACTTCGCACGTTCAAACACCGATCTACCTACTTCGATTTAGGCTGTTTGGTGATATCACTATCTCATGCGCAAAACATGCGATCTAAAACCAAATATATAAACATGTATCTCGGTAAATACATTACACTAAAACATTGTATTTTTATTTTACTTCTGAACTATTCATCTTTTTAGGAAACCATTAAACATTGATAACGGATTGTACTAAATGTATATTAGTGTGATTTTTAGTTGGATTTTCGCCCTTTAATTTCGCATTACTGAAATTCCATTCCTAGGGGAAACAACCCTGGTCCTTACACAGTATGTGTGTTGAAGACGATAGATCCCCCAAAACTCACACAACGGACCAGAATAGCCTATCGAGTCTCTGAATCCTTGATCCTTCGTTCCGTTCCGAGTGAGACGAATCAGTAGTAGCATTCAAGTTTAACGAACCTAGCAATGTGTCAGTTCAAATTTAGTACACAAGTATTGTATTTGAATTCTGAGTTCCATTAGCTTTATTTTCTGTATCTAACTCCAAGCTTTCATTTGATGTCTTCAAAACAATATCATGCTAACTTCTTTTAAATCGAATAATATAATATGGCTCACTCACCAAGTACCAATTTATATGTTCCGTATTGAGCTACATCTTTTGTGTAACGACTAGTATTTTTGTGAATGAGGACGCAAGCGGGGACAGTCGGTTTACTGTTTAGCACAAAGTTACAGAATATTTTGGTAAAATATGAGAACCATACACTGAGTACTTCATTTGTAAATTTCCATCATTTGTTCTTCACGTTCTGTATTATTCTTCCAGTCCACAATTCTTTTCCATTCTCTTCAACTCAATCTTCTTAGCCTTTCGTTGCCAGGTTTTCCACTTCCGATTGGTGTTACATACTACTTACGTCTGTCGACATAAATAACTTACACAACGGTATTACTGTCCAAACAGTAAATTGGGCGCTGTTCAAACTTGTTACTCTGTAGTTTAAAAGCGATCACCTAAACTACCAAGACATCGACACACTTTAGTTTAGTTTATATTACTTGATATCATCAGCTAACGAACGATTACCATGTATATACTGAGTGATATCACTCATTTCTTTTTCTTTTTATGTATGTGTTTATTCGCATTTGATAAATTTGAAGTATTGAAACCTAGTTCTAGTCCCATAATTAGTCTTTTTATGATTTCAAGAGTTTGAACCAACCAATGTTCTTTCCTTGCATTCGGCTGAACGTAGTACGTATAATCCAGAATAAGTGATAAGAGAACATGATAAGCTGAAGTGAATATATGTAGGTGTATATTCTAGAGGACTAAAGTGTTTCTGTCACTAATTTATGATTTAAGATAATTTATTCTGTGGAGACTTTCATGTTACCGATTAGCTTACGCTGTGTAATTCATCAAAAAAATTTGATTATTTTTTTTTAAATTTCATAATCTACACATCCAGATTACGAGGAGTAACCGTTCCTGCTTCAATAACAAATCCTAAAGTTGAGTGTCATTGGCCAGATGACTATATGGGCCCACCCCAAATTGAAGATATTCGAATAATTAAAGGACCCGTTACAGCTTTATTTTCACAATTTGGTTATAAGTAAGTTTATCTTTTGTTTCATTAAAATTATGAACAGATATAATTTAGACCATTATTGAAAACCTGGAAGCACTAGACGGCCTTTTTGTCTTGCTATGGTACTCGGCAGTGGGCATCCATGATTCTGCACGTGGAAGTCGGACCCAGGACTCTCTGTCTCGCGCTCAAACACTTGATCTCTAAATCACCAAGCTGAATACCAACAGTATTAATGTCTAACCTCGATCAATCCACGAAATTGCGCGACCATCTTTCATTGTATGTGGTGGGTAACTGCCTCACCCCTTGCTCTACTGGTCGTGACTTCTCACTAGAACCTCGGAAATTTCCTCTTGAAGTTAGTCACTAATGAGAATATAATAATTTCCAGTATCGGGTTGTGGAGTTCGTTGAATTTTATTGAAATCATTAAAAACCTGGAAGCACTATATATATATATATATATATATATATATAATTTATTTATTTATTTATTTATTTTAACACATAGGTATTGGTACAAGGAGGTACCAAATACATATGCTCCACACGAATCTCAATTGATTTGTGTGAGGGCTGTGATACTGCCCGGTTGCCCAAACCGAAGCAGGTGGTTTTCTTAGGGGGCCACAACCCGAGGCTTCGACCTGAACGTCTGACCCACAAGGCAGTGGAGCTTCGTAAGGAGATGCAGTCCCATGGTAGCCGGTGACCAACGATTGGTTCATACGCCATTTGTTCCTTCAGGATACTGGAGCCCATGTGCACCATTGGTTTGGGATCAGGCTTTCCCAACTCCCCTAGGTGGACCCTCGGTGTTCACCGACCCGGTTAAAGCACAGGACATTCGCTTTTCGTCCTACCGATTTCGTAAAAAACAATCATGCCACGAGAAGGCAGTGAGTAGGACTTCCCTGGCATTAGCTGTATACGCGTGGCCATTTGAGAGCATTTCGAGAGGAAGAGTGGACTCTCCCCATCCTTGGTCGTGCCAGGGCATTTGGGGGCTACTTAACGAAAATAAATAATGGCTACCATAAAATGTAATTGTTAGTTTCAATTGTATCAACCGAAACCTACAAACTCGTACACAACGAACTTATACCTATTTCATTTGAAATCTAAAAACCAAGATGACTAAGCACAAAGATGAATGGTGGCTAACAATGGAATCCGGGACGTGCATTTCGTTCTACTTGAGACCCATCAATTCTGATGTACCTGCAATCCATAGCTGATGTTCACTCTGGGACTCGAACCCAGTACCGTTCGCCCCAAACGCCATCGCATTATCCACTTAGCTACTGAGTTTTTATAGCCACCAGCTTGTGCTATGGGGCGAAGTTTTAATTCATTTTGTATTATTTGTTTGAATCTTCTCATTGATGTTTAGGACCGCATTTGATCAGTCTTTTATTGGCATATGTATTCGAGTCCCGGACTGAACATCAACTATGGGATCCAATCACGTCCATCTGACGAGTCCCAAGTAGGAAGAAACGCGCGTCCTTGATTGCACTGTTAGCCACCATCCATTTTTGCTTATAATGCTTGTGACGTAGGGCAGTATCGAGACAATTCGCACAGGGTGCACATATGTCGATTGCAGTCATAAACGTCAATGGGAAGATTCAAACAAACAATACAAAATGAATCAAAATAACTTATACGAATATTCGTCAAGATTAGAACGAATAGTTTGACAGATATTGGGCGCCGAGTATACAGAAGTCATTATATATGTAAATTGTATTTGAAACAATCTCAGCGATTGAAATTTAAAATAATTCCAACGTTTCGTCCAGCCAACTTGTCCGGACTTCTTCAGGGTAATAATCACGTTTATAAGGACATTAAAAATGTACGACATGATTTATATAAATCCAATTACAGTGATAAAATAACAACCTTCAGCTGCATATATTCCATCTTTTCCAACCAAAAATTTACCGAATATACATAAGAATTGAGACGAGTTATGACATTCATTAGTCTGGTTCGATTCGACGCACAATATCCAGAAAATTAACTAGAACAGAGTTTTCTCAACAATGTCTAATTACATGCTACTATCTACGTTAATGTTTTGAAACTGCGCTTACGTAAATTACCTCCATTACAGAAAAACCCTCGATAAACAATGAAGTATCGGATTTAAGCCATGAAAAACCATTTATCTAAACTAAGAACTGAAGCCTCCTATTCTTATAAAGTCGTTGAGGAACTTAATATTGAACCAAGTTTTATAATTTTCTTCAAGAGGTCCAGACAAAAGTGTGCAGAAACCTTAAGAAGACCTTGTCAGAAACCCTTATCAAATCTCAACAGTTAAAGGTATTCCTGAAAATTATAGAAAATTTGTGTGCAGCTTATCAAGTCTTAACTTGCGTCGAGTTAAGATAAAACCACTTAAATTTGGATTTAAATTTGTATCATCAATCATCTGAACTAAAACCAATAGATGAAGAAAAGCGAGGCTGGTTGAAATCTAGTTTTGTTGATATTGCCTACTAATACAAGAAATCTCAGATTCCACAGTGAAAAGTCTTCTACAGATAACTAAGAAGCTTTAAGGTAAAAACGCTGCTTTAGTTTTAAACGGTGACTAATATTCAACGATTTCATTGTGGGAATCTTACTGGTTGGAACGTGTAAACAAGTCACTAGATATTAAATAGGTTTATGTTATAGTCCCAAGTACCTTTTAAATTAACTAGTGTCAACTTGATCTATCTCCCTAAACATATCAATCATTTTTCCTGTTCCCTAGATCAGGCGAATGTATTAGCCAATCAGAAGCCAGACGAACTATTGATAATTATGTTCGAAACAATAAGCTTCAGTTGACTACAGATCCGAGGTAAAAATGCAGGATGTTTTAGTGCTTTTTCGCTGAATAAATATGTTTTTCTTGATTATTAACTCTTTTGAGCTAGTTAATAAGCAAAATAATTTTATTAATTTCTCAGTCAATTTCATTACTTAATGATTATTCCAATTATCATAACATTCACCTCCTTGGTTATTTTAACATAAAGTAGGATATTTCCCAATAGAACGTTTCTATAGTGTTCAACCATTGTAGGTTGGTAAAATATATTTGTATTCTGTTTTATTTCTTATCGTTTTATCTTATTTTACGAATATATCAGTTGTGATTTAAGCAAAAATAAATGTATTCTGGCTCAGGATATAAATGCTACTATGACAGAAGTTACCTCTGACTGTCGATTTAGTATTTGACCTCACTTCAATGACATTTTAACCATTATTTTTACTGCCAACTCTGAATGAGGGAAAATATCCCCTTCAACTGACCATAACTGTAGAAACAATATTTGGTTACTGAGATGAATATTCACATTTGGGCCTTTGATCATGAAATTGATTGTCAGTACAAGTATATAAATAATGAATATCTGATCGTGCATAATTCCAAAAAAGGTACATCCGTCATTTTCTCTTTCAAATTGTTTTTTGTATCGCTAAGTTTAAATTGACTCAGCTGTACACAACTTGAAGATTATTTATTTTTTCTTATAGCTTAGTTCATTTAGACAAATTATTAACAGGCATATGTGAGCCGAAAACTTTTATTGAATCCCCTGAAAGTACCATAACAAATCCAATTTTTCACATTCGTTTTGGTGATCTTATTTCTCAAGCTTTGAAAAACTTAACTAATGCTTATCGCATAATTTATCCGGACATGTCCACCCCTGTCATCTGGAATAAAAAAGAGCCACCTCATATACATTTGTATACTGTTACGAAAGCTGGAAAGAAATTAGTAAGTTAACGTTTGTTTTAAAAGCAATGATAGCGATCAACATTTTCTCTATGTATCACAAACTTTTGTCTCGAGCACAACTGATTATCAAGACTTCTAACCTGTCCTACCTCAGAAGAATAATCTGAAGAATGACTTTTATCGTTGTTAGGACTGTCAATTAATTTTAAGCTAAAAATCTCTTAATTGTTTATATATAATTGTCAACCAGTATACTAACATGAATCAAGCGAAGATTTATTCTAGAAAACACATGTTTTAATACATCATAGCTACAAGTCCAAACATATCTTAATTTTGACAAATTGTTTAATGTTGATTTATTTGTAACCATACTATCGAAAAAGGTTCTATAATTTACTTGAATAAAGGGAAGTTTACATACATTGTAATTCCTTGGTCTACAAATTTCTGTATATAGGGAAAATGGTCAGCATAAAATTGTTATCTTAAAATGTTTACTAAAAAGACATGAAAGACCTTCTAATGGTATAGTTTTGAACTCAGTAAAAAAAAAACGTGTAAAAACATATAAACCAAGCATTATTTCTAAATTTTCTTTAAACTTATGAAAATGATCGGTCCGTAACGCTCAGTTGAATGGATACAATAACTTAAGTTGCTTAGAAAGGAACGAGGTTAGAAACTTAACATATATAGTCAAATAGCAACCTATCACTGGAAATCTTCTTTAATATCTAACTATATCAAATACTCATCTATCCATCTGAAAAGCTATAGTCATCTACGCAAATTCAACTCATATTCAGTTATGCAATTTAGCTACCCTATATTTCCTGATTCTCTGTGTACAAGAAATATAATCTATTACACCTCAGTTGATCTATAGTTACTGTCTCATTTTCATCGAACAAAGAACACGGTAATAACGAATGTCAAATAGTAAATGTTGACTATTGAGTTATAATTCAGTATGCGTAGTAGCCACTACATGTGACAGTTCTATTCTTTGAATATGAACTGTTGGGAAAATTTGACGATGAAAAAAGTTGTCATATGTTTCCCGGGTTTCTTTTCCAGTTGTTCTTTAACTGTTATCGCTTCAAAATAGCGAATTTGTGGGAGAAACAGATTAGTAGGGGAAAGTTTTATTTTTAGACGATGGTTTTGTTAAATTATATCTTCAAACATTATGACACATGTGACTCTTATCTTTAAATAAAAGTTATAAAATAACAACACATTATCCAGACCACAGCTGTTACTTTGATTCAGTAGTCGAGCTCGCCTATCGTGATCCAACTGAGTTTTATTTTCTGGAACGCATCCCTTTCAGTTCTATCATGACATGTAAGTCCGTTGGAATGTGATAAGATTAACGTAGGAAAATTAAGGTCAAACTACAAAGTCATAGTGCCAAATGTGCTGGAATTTGAGTGTAGTAAAATGTTTCTCTTTTAAAACCAGCATCCTCAGGCCTATTGTCTTCTCACAATGAAAGGAAATTTTAACAAAAATGGACCCTAAAATTACCACATTTCAGTTTTTACTAGAGATTTCAGCTGTTGTCGATGAGGTATGAGAAAATTGGAGCTAGTAGAACCAAAACTACTCAAAGTTGTGCATGACCAACCTCAAATATCTGTTCCTTGGGCCCACTTTACTAATCCAGCCTGCTTATCACACCCAGAAAAGTGTCGTTCCGCGATTTGGACAATCTAAAAGTAACAGCCGCTCACATACTCCTAACAACACTAATGAAAATGAATTTTTAAATTCAGCGTCAATGTATTGACAATTCATTATTCTTTATTAGAAGTAATTTTGTATACAACTAATTCTATCCTACTGAAAAAACTTGTTAGTGATTGAAGACTACTGTCATTAATGATGACAAGTAATTTCTTTAATTATCATGTTTACTAAACTTATCTATGCGTTGATTATCTGTTCATTTATGGGTTCATCATATATTTAGACTCGAATAGCGGAATTGGAAGATTTTCACATTAATCCAGATTCATTTTCTAAACAACTGAAAATACATTTAGCCTGTTCAGCTGGGAAAACAGACGATCAACAATACCCGGGTAAAATTGTCATTCAAGCCCAAGGTGTTCACCTTGCAGCTATCTCCAAATTACTTACAGGTAAGATGAATAAAACCTAAAAGTAAATAACAGCTCTTATCTGTTTATATATATATATATATATATATATATATATATATATATATATATATATATCATACGTAATTGCACAACTCATTGCATAATAAGTTGAGTAATTAGTGTTAATGTCCGTCGATCTTTATTTCACTTAATTAGATGAATGAGTAGTTGTTGACTGTCATTTTACATCTAAATATTCTCAGGATTTATGTAACATTCTATTTTATCATTACGATAATTACAAAGACCGCAATTAAGTAGACTGGACTTACATAACTCAGTTTTACAGTCGATAACTTTATGGACAGATCCGACTTCTTAGTTTGATCCGCTTAGCTTTCTTCCATCCTACACTTACTCCAGTTTACATTGTACTGTGAAGTATTGGGTGATGGATCATACATCTTAAAATATTTGAACTAGTTGCATATTCAGTAACGAAAGACTTATCATTAATTAAAGTTGAATATTTGTCTTATACAATATCTTAATTAAACCTAAAATGCAGACAAATATATCGTACATAAAACGTCATGCAAAAATATATCTATCCAAGTTTGCATATTTCACAACACAAAGAACAAAACTCTACCTAAAAACATATACCCAACTCAAACATTGTTAATTCTATGCCTGAAAGAACCAATTATTTAGTATCGATACATGTTTTCTACTAATAGAGAGATCGTTTCACAACCTGAAATTATTTCGAAGTGGAATGTTACTCTGCATAATAGCTTTTCGATAACAATGAAATACATACTAGCTGCTACTTATATATGAATTCTTAAAATTATTTTAAATTCCTAACCTATTTTCGTATTTTATGTACAAAATGTTGACTGACATGATAGAATTAGTTGATTAACCATTCAGCAAATTAAGTAAAAACTACGGTGAAACAGTATTGTGCTATGCTTCTCTGGCATTCCATACTTGCCCGTTTGATGGGATTCAATGACCAAAATGACCTTCACATTGAATTAATGTTAACCAACCAGTTAACGAAGCGCATTTATTTAAATTGTAATTCAGAACTAAATACTAACAGTAGAATTATGATCTACTTTATATTTAATTTTGATTTTTCATTACAGAATCGTACTCAATACCAAAGCGATTTATTAAAGGCTACACAGAACCAGATAAAAAGAAGTAAATGTTAGATTTAATCATTGACACATACTCTTTTGTATACAAAATAATTTAAATTTCTCTATACAACTTGCTGAATTCAACGCATATTTTTAAAAGTACTTGAATAATATTATCAGTTCCAAATGTTGGACTTAATCATCTTAGTGTGAATAGAGTATTAGTCATTGGAACCATAGGGAGTATGACAATCACAACGTAAATTCAACAACTGTAAAAATTCGCTTACTACACTACAAAATACAGAATCACTATATCCAGATGCGAAGTGCTTGGAGACAGTCGGCAAAAAACCCTAAACCCACGTTTCAGGCCAGTTCCCACCATTCTGTAGGGCGTATCTGCGATTCTGAGGCGAATGATGCTCCACTCAGCTTCACTGTCTAAGATGTTAATACTGGGCTATTCGAGACGCCATTAATCAATGAGAAAGACATTTATAAATGACTAGTCACTGAATAGTACTCAGTATCATGTTTGTATAGTCCGTTAGTTCTGATCAAAATGTATACAACATTCAACCATTTTTCTAAAAGACATTGACCATTCACTGTTTCTGAAACCCCCATCAAACAAAAACTATTAAAAACTGATTTTTTTAGTTGATTTGTTCATCAGTTAACTAATAATACGTATCAATGAATGTTAGGAACGGTCGATACCGATTCCGTTTAAAACAACGTACAAAACGAAATATTCAGTATGACTGAATACGTTGATTTCACGATTTTAAATGATTGTTAAGTGCAGTGAGTATCGGTTTTTGGCAATACATAGATATTGCGTTCTACAATCATCAATTCAGAATAAACAATATAAATTAGAGAGCTAGTATAATATTTATTTATTTGAAAATATAAATATTGGTGCAAGGAGGCACCAAATATATATGTGCGACACAATGAAAATGAGGTTGTGAAGAAATAGAGGAAGGAAAACGAATATAGTAAAAAGGAAGAACAACAATGAACAGAAATTAATGTATAAAACTGAAATAATAATGATGGGAGAAGCAGTTCAGTTAGGAAAAATACAATCAGAAAGAACTATTTCAGTCAAAGAAGTTACTCCCATTTTCATGAAGTAAAAGAAAGTTGCAGCAAGATCACTACAGGCTTCTATTCTAAACCACTTCTGATAACGTCTCAAGCCATTGTGTTGCTCCATCTCTAGGACCACAACCAGGGAGTCAACAAGAACCGACAGAAGCCTGTCTTGTACAGCATTTTTTTATAGCACGACATTATGTCATGCGCTGACCTCACCGCTTTTTCTAACCAGTCCCCGAGTCGGCAAATGATGCACAATGCGAAGTTCGTTGAGACGACATTAGCAGGAAATGTCCAAGCCACCAAAGTCGGTGTTTCGAGATGGTGACTCCAACCGAATTATCGTCGCTGTGTCCTAGCTCACATTGCCGAACTTCTGCATTACACATAAACATTGGTACAATGGGGCATCAGATACTTATGCGCCACACATCGGGCCCCTAAATGCCCTGGTACGGCCGAGAGTGGGGAGAGTCCACTCTTCCTCTCGAAATGCTCTCAAATGGCCACGCGTATATAGCTAATGCCAGGGAAGTCCTACTCACTGCCTTCTCGTGGCATGAGTGTTGTTTACGAAATGGGTAGGAGGAAAAGCGAATGTCCTGTGCTTTAACCGGGTTAGTGAACACCGAGGGGAGTTGGGAAAGCCTGATTCCAAACCAATGGTGCACATGGGCTCCAGTATCCTGAGAGGAACAAATGGTGTATGAACCAATCGTTGGTCATCGGCTACCATGGAAACGCATATCCTTACGTCGCTCCACTGCCTTGTGGATCAGACCTTTGGGTCGAAGGCTCCAGGTGTGGCTCCCTAAGAAAACCATCTGCTTCGGTTTGGGCACCCGGGCAGTATCACAGCCCTCACAAAAATCCAATGAAACGACAATTACCTCTAATGTCGGTGGTAGCACTCAACTGTCGACCAGTCAGTTACTTGAGTTCGTTTAGATAGAACAAGGTTTCCACCTTAAGTGAACTGCTGTATGAGTTGAAGCATAAAGGAATAGACAAGTAACGCAATCTATAATAAGAACGAATGTTAACGATTAGTTTTGAGTATGGTTTGAAAGAATGAAAATTATTATTCCGGTTTTTTTGGCAGATAACTCATGAAATTTCTCGTCATAATGTAGTCAACCGAGGGGAGACAACTGTCCACAAAACCTTTTTGTTCGTGATCAAAGTCATTCATCACTTATTAGTATGTCTTAATTATCAGTGCTAACAATTCCATTTTACGAAATGGTTTCAAATTATGCTGTGAACTGCATCCTGGAGCGATCAATATTCGTAGTTCATATGTAGCATGTTGATCACTTTAATTAACCTTGGTAGTCTCATCATTTTTAGTGGCCTGGTGAAATCTATGTACAGAGTCAGAAATCTCGGCTGGGTAACGTCGCTTGTAGCTTATGCAAGATGTTCGTTTACCAACCACAACGAGTATACTGCTCAACAATTCGCTGTTACAATTTATGGCTGCGAATTTTGACCCTTAAAAATAGTGGATATTTGTAGGTTACTAGTATTTGATCATAAAAGCCTTCGAAACACACCTAGACTGTTGGGACCTTCGAGTGAACAATGCTAAGGTTACACATCGGACATTAGATTAAAAAAGCTAGTTTATTGAAGCTGTAAACATTTGACGACTGAGGCGGTCGGCACATACTAATGAAGCCTATCGACTGTCTTCCTGGATGCACGAGGATGATTGATGTAGTACGCTTTAAAAAAGCTAAGAGTGATCAGATCAAGGCCCAGCGGAAGACACTGACTGTTGAAGTTAACCATTATTAGTAAGTGCAAACTGCCGGGTGAGTGCTTTTCGTAACCAATCGTTAGATATTTTGAGTGGAACGGCTTAGTATCATCCGCAATGGCGCAGGTACATTCATTCTTTGTCTTCCCTTAGATCCTAGGATGCTATATCCTTCGTAAACTTTTTTAATTCATTATTATATATTTCCTCGAATCGTATTTTGAATGCCTAATCTTTTATCTTACCGTTAACCCCACTACTGGCGGGATTTTCCCTGACAATTTTATCTCGCTGCCCTTTTGGGGTGTGGCAACTTGAACCGATGAATATATGTACCAGATCTTACATTTTATATAAATGGTTGATTGTTCAACATGTAGACTATAATAATAAAATGCACATTGGCGAAAACTATCAAGTTTCTTGGGATTGAATACATCCCAACGAACATTTGTAATTATAGCGGAAAAAATGTGCAAATTATCATTTTGCCGAGCGTTTTCACAGCCGATAGGTGCAGAAATGACATACGAATATCAAGAAGTAAAGTTCTCCAATATTAAAAGCAACCTGTTTGTACTCACCCTTCCCGATGAGTTGCTGAAATAGTCAGGAAGTTCGTGTATCTCTATGGCTATATGTGTACTGACCGCAGTATAAAATGACTTGAGTGATAATTATGAAGTTCACGCTTTATATACATGGTGATAAGATCTTAGAGAAATATCAAGTTATATGCTTAATTTGTAAGTTGAAATCGTCCGAATAGGAAGTTGGGAAACACTGTTACTAAGAATTCATTAAAATTGACGCTTTTAATGAATATATCAACAGTAAATTACTACATATTATACCTCATCTAACATAAAGTCAAACATTTAGAAAAATAGTGATATATAATCTGATTAAAAATTATTAGACGATATAGGCGACCATTTACAAGAAAAGTAGGAGTCGAATTAATTTTCCACATGTTTACATGGAACAATCGAAATACAAGGTACAAGAGCTGTTCTGATGCTAATCCTGTTGCTTGACGGGACTTTGAAGTCGACGACGTAGTGCATTTGTAATCCGCTCAAAAACACTAGGTTGAGTTTGTGAATCAATACGACGTTGTAAACGGGATAAATAGGTAGATGCTTTTTCTTCAGTACCAAAGCGTAACCAAAATACATCTGGATGAGATTTGCGAAACTGTTCATTGAAAGATGTAAACAAGTAACGAAAATTAAATGACAAATGTATAAATGAGAAAACTTTTCGGATTAATTCTTGTAAATTCTTAACAGCAAGGTACCAGATAATTATGAATAAATGACAAAACGTAATTCCTGACTGCCAAATACACTGAGAAAAACAATCGTTCGTATCACATCACCTCAAATAATATTTAGCGAGAAACAATTCATGCCTGTACCATTTTCCAAATAAAATATTTTATCCGAAAACAAAATGTTAGGAAACAACAGTATCTCTCAAACAAAATTAATTTGAACTTACATCTTGAAGACATTTCATTTTTCTACGTGGATTCATGTCACGGTCATTGAGAATTTGATTTAAAAGCTTGATCAAATGAGCTGTATTACCTAATGCAGCTAATCGTTTTGGATCTAGATCAGACTATAAAATTGCAAGAAAATGAGCAGGATAATTATGAAATATTTAATAAATAGTATTACAATTCTTACTTCTAAAAAATCATAAATGGTGAGGTATGAAAATGAAAAACGTATCATGAACCTTTAAAAATATAAATTTGTTGGAGAAAATCAAAACGAACCAAGGGTTTGCCCCAGCTGACACTAGCCCCCGAGAGATACCAACAATCATCAGGTTGTTTAAACAGAATCCAGGCTAACGTATTATTGAATGAAAGGTGATCACAACTGGACGAACGCCTGCAATTATTCTTCCACACTATGCACCAAAATCCCTTGATTCAACCCCCAAACATTAAGACAAAACCTAGACTGTAACTGCGAATATACTTTATGTAAAAAAATATTTCTTCTATATACAGATCTCCTTTACGGTGATTATTGATTATATTTAAATACTGATCAAATGTCAAGACTGAGCAAGGATATAACAATAGTATACCATTATGAAATAATTAATAACTAATCACATAACTTCTTTTCAATATTTGATTTTTGTATAAAAATTAGTGACACACTACTATAATCTTTCAAAATCACGCAGCATTCTTCTATTTTAATAAATGAATTCATCGAAATCCAATCGACTGTTCAAGTGAACGATAATAACATTGGATCAATCAGTAATTCTACTATTGGCTTCTTACTATTTTTGGGACTTATCTGGTTTATTTTCATCATCATAGAACGTTTCGAACCGCAATCAGGTTATGGGTTCTAGTAGAGATCAGTCAGTATGTGACTTAATGTTTTCTCGTTTCACGACAAGACTGAGACGTAAGACAACAGTAAACGATTTTCTGCATTATACATCCAGTGGTTCTAGATTGCTTGGGGTTTTCTACTACTACTACTACTACTATATGAAGGTGAATTATAATTTCTTTATTTGTGTTATAGTACACCTGTCTTAATAGTTCTCGGTGTTTGGATGGG